GCAGACTGACTATCAGAAAACATAGCAGTAGGTTTATCAAAAGACAGGCCTAAATCAGCAAACAAATAGTGTAACCACTGAATTTCACAAGTTAAATCAGCCATGGCCCGATACTCAGCCTCGGTTGATGAACGGGAAATGGTTTGCTGCTTCTTGGACCTCCATGAAATCAAAGAGCTGCCTAAGAAAACACAAAAACCAGTCGTGGACCTCCTGGAATCAGGACAACCTGCCCAATCACTGTCAGAAAAAGCTTTAAGATATAGATCAGTCTTTGAAGAAAAAAATAAACCACGGCCAGGAGAACTTTTCAAGTAATGAAGTACTCTATGAGCTGCTGCCAAGTGAACATCAGTTGGCGCACTCATGAACTGAGTTAGTTGATGAACAGCAAACGCAATATCAGGTCTGGTATTGCACAAATACAATAAACGGCCAACCAATCGTCTATAAATAGCAGGATCATCCAAAAGAACACCATATTTAATGGAGAGACGAACACCAGGATTACAAGGGGTAGCAACAGGTTTAGAACCAAGTAGACCAGAATCTTTCAACAAGTCTAGCACATATTTACGTTGACAAATAGAAATGCCTGTTTCATTCCTAGCTATTTCAAGTCCTAGGAAGTATTTAAGATTGCCTAGGTCTTTGATTTTAAAAGCATCATCAAGTTTTTGTTTTAGAGACTCAATTTCACTAAGAAAATCACCTGCCATTATAATATCGTCAACATATACCAAAACAGCAAGGAACTTACCATCCTGATGTTTTGTAAACAGTGAATAATCGGCTTTGGATTTAATATAACCAGCTTGTAACAAAAACTCAGTTAGCTTATGATTCCATTGTCTACTAGCTTGTTTTAAACCGTAAAGAGATTTATTTAGTTTACAAACAAGATTAGAAGTGTCACCATCAACTTTGAAACCTAAAGGAAGTTTCATATAAACATCTTCAACCAAATCTCCATGAAGGAAGGCATTATTTACATCAAGTTGATGTAAATGCCAACCTTTAATGGAAGCAAGTGCAAGTAAAGACCGGACAGTAGTTAGCTTAGCAACAGGGGAAAAAGTGTCTAAGTAATCTATGCCCGGTGTGTAAGAACAACTGAATCGGAGTTCTGAACTCCGTTCTCAAGAGAAACAGACACATCAGTAGCCTTAGACTCACTAACTACAGCATTAACCCTAGCTTTCCCTTTGTAACCAGGAGGATAACCATGCTTCTTAAAGCATTTGTCAACAGTGTGACCAGTCAATCCACAGAAAGTGCAAACAGGACGTTTAGACTGACTCTTAAACTGACTGTTCTGAACAGCACAAGCCAAAGGATTGACACTAGCAGAGGTAATCACTCTGTTCTGACGCTCAAACTGTACAACAGTAGAGAAAACCTTGTTGATTGGAGGAAGAGGATCCATCAACAAGATCGAGGAACGTACAGACTCAAAATCATCACCAAGACCCCTCAAGAACCTAATAATCTGGTCAGATCTCGCATACTCAGCACAAGAACACTTAGGGACACAAGCACAGGACTTAATCGGCCGATAGGTCATCAACTCATCCCAAAGAACCCTAAGTTTAGTGAAGAACTCACTTACAGACATGTTACCCTGCTTGAGTGCGAACACCTCGTCTTGAAGGTCAGCGATGCGAACAAGATCTGCGATGCTGAAGCGCTCGCTCAGATCTCTCCAAACTTCGACTGCGGAATCGAGCCAGAGGACGCTCTGACCGATATCTGGAGCCAGAGAGCGAAGAATCCACCCGAGCACCATCGTATCGCACTGCTGCCAGGCGGTGTAGAGAGGATCGCCCGGTGGCGGCGTCGGAACGGCTGGATCGATGAAGGCGAGCTTGTTCTTCGACAGAAGACCGAAGCGCATCGATCTCGCCCAGGAATGGTAGTTCGGCCCGGTGAGCACGATTGACACGAGCTGCGTCGTCGAGGAATCACCGGAGCTGATGTAGTAGGGGTGATTCGGCGCAAGCGCCGCTGCGAGAGGAATCGGAGGCTGGAACGAAGACGAAGTCGCCATCGTCGCGAAGACGAAACCCTAGATGGGAAGCGGAAGCGAAAGAAAAGAAGGAAAGAAAGAAGTCAGAGAAAATGCTCTGATACCATGTTATGAGAGAGAAACGGATCCAATTTTATTTCACCAAAAAAAGTAAATTTACATTGTTCAGTTATTACATTTATATATTAGTTCTATTCTACTCTATTACAAAACAATACACAAAGTAAACAAATATTACAAATTGATCCTATCTATTCTATATACTAATAGACATCAAAGATGGCAGGTGCGCTATGAGGTACGAGACGTACTCCTTTTGATTTCGGAGTCCGATCGGTTTCAAGAAATGATGTATTTTGCTTAATAAGGTAATTGTGTTTTCGTTGCTCCCTGTTTGAACCATATGTCTAATTATTCCAATGTTGGAAAATATATTCGTTGTTTTCCTTTGTAACGGTGGAGCCTTGTTGAAACAATGTAATTTTGTTTCCTAATTGACTTGTTATTGTAAACGATTGAATGTTTTCTATAACTCACGGTGAATTGGAAGTTACTGTAGCAAGGTTCTAAATTATATATGAGACATATATTTGATTTACTAAAATACTATGGAGTCTCAAATCACTGTATGAGTAATGGAAAAGCCAACTAATAAGTTGCTCATGATCTACTGATTAAATTGACTCTCTAGTTGCTATATTGACACAACTAATAATCTCAAAACGAATTAAGCCGCATAATAATAACTCTAACAAACCACCAAATCGATCGAATTAGCTAGCAAATTTGAACAAACTGAATAAAGTTTAGTTATAATGAGGAATACATGCATCCGACGAGGGAACTTTATTGGGCCGGCAATCGGCAATGCCAACACAAAATAACAAAAATTCCCCATACATGTTATCCATCAGTAACTTCCGTAGGGGAGAAGTAACTTCCGTAGGGGAGAAGCAACTTCTCTGGGAAAATTTCACCCAACCAAAGACAAAAACTAGTGAACATATTACACTTGACTTACATAGCACTTATTAATTCGCACGTGATTAAATATTTCTTTCCATATATATATGTAGTATGGAACTCGAATACTTTTTTTTTTTTTGATGCGAAAATGGAACTCGAATACTCGATGTCTATGGCCTTACGCATTTTGTTGTTTTTGTTTGTTTGTGCTTCATCAGGTCATAATGTTTTAGTATTTGCGTGGATATCTATGGCCTTACGCGTTATTCTGACACTTCCGGCGGCCCTTTCGTAATGACAAATAAACCGTCTTTTTTTATGAATAAAATCTAACCCTCATAAGAATTGGGCATAGAAGGAAACGATCAGTAGGAATTGATAGCAGCCGTCGGATTAGTCGTCATCTGGACGCTAGGGATGATGATCGGAATCGGAAGTGGTGCTAGATGACGGATCGACTTGGAAGATTGATATTTAAAATCATGAGTAATATAGTCAGAGTCGCGTTTTAAAATTTAAAATGTTACACTTTTATATTTTTAGTTTAATTAACAAAACAATTCTAGATATAATTACATCATTTCTAACTAATATAGTTAAAATCACGTTTTTACATTTCTAGATCACCAAAATGCTTCTGTGTAGAATCACCTTTTTGGCAGTGCATTGTGCATGAAACTGCACAATAGGAGGAACAAAACTTGTTCAGAATCTTGAAGTCTAGCTAGTTTCTGTTAGAGACTTCTCGTCACTTAGCAAAGTGATTTTCTTCCCATGTTTCTTTTGTTTCCAGTTCGACTGTTCAATCGTACGTAGGCGCGGAAAAGCTTTGATCAGTCAAAAGTTTTGGGCTCAGTGTGGAAAATGAGGCTCAATGCATTCAGAAGAAGCTAGGTAGTTAAGGAACAAAAAGGATAACAGCCAAAACGAGTCGTACAGTCCTTACTAGCTAGCTAGGCAGACTGCAGAGGTCTACATATGAGAAGAATATCATATGTTATATTATAAAACGAGATAATTGATCAAATTGACTCATTTCTAGATTATCCATCCAAACGACCCTTAGATCATTTCTCTATTGCCCTAAAAGTCGAACCTAGAGCGTGACATTTTCATCCCACATTATCACTAGCTAACCCTCGAGGTTAGATATAATCATGTAATACCATTTCCCTACGCATATCAGTTCATGTTCATTTTCAAGAAGAAGAAAAACTGAGACTAACGAAGAAACTAATCCTCCATTTCGCCAAATACCCTAAAAATGTTAATCACCCATTCATCACGAGGGCCGAATTTCAACATTCAGAATGGTAATATTACCAATTAGCGGAAGGAAACCAAAATTATTAACCAGGAAACATATTTATAAAAAAAAAATCTGAGAAATAGCATAAGGAAGTCAAAAGGCATATCCTCAACCAAATTAAGAATCATCAGTTCCAATGCAGGAGACAGTGAATTCATATCCAGGACAGGAATTCGATGCCATATATTAATTGCTTCCAAATTACAAAAAAAAAAAAAAGAGAGAGACTACAAATGAAGAAACAAAAATCCTAACTAATTTCTTTGACCCGAAAAAGAAAAACCCTAACAATTAATCACAGTAAAATCTGTTTCCAACATCGATCTTCCCATTAACTAATTCCCTGCCCCAAATTAATTCCCCAAAAATAAGACGAACCCTAATCAAGCAAAAAACGTATCTGATCATCACCACCTTCAGATGCATAGCTTTTTCTGGACTGGAATGGAGAGAAAAGTACTGCTGTCTGCTAACACAAAATCTAAACTTACAGAGAGAAGGGGAAGAAGAAGAAGAAGAAAAAAACAGCTTACCTCTGTGGGGGTAATGTCGATCGAAAGCGCTTCCCCCACTGTATGTATATTATAAACCTAAACTTACCAGCACCGATTAATATAATCTCCCCCCAAAAAAACTGCTTGCATCCAAATCTAATATATACACCACCTTAAAGAACCGACACCTAATCGCCATCATTGACTAGAAGTCAAACAAGGAATGGTCGCCGTAGTCCCATATCGACGGCGCCGGGTACTCCTCACCCGAAATCGTGGGCCAGAATCCAGCTCCAGGCGACCCGGGCCCGACATGCAAGCCCGGATCTTGCTGGCCCAGCCCAGTCGCAGCAACATGAACCGGCTGCGTCGCGTTGTTCGAGATCGACAGCCCGGATCCAACCGACCCGGCCAGCACACCTATGTCGTCGTAGAGACAATGCCCCTCGCCCTGCTGATGCAGCTGTCGTTGATGTCCTACATCCTCATACGTCGTCGTCGTCGTCGTAGAGCCCATCATGGGATGGCTGGGGAGTTGCTGGAAATGGCTGTTGTGATGGAGCAGGTGATGCGAAAAAGGGAACGGTAAGGACGGCGTCGTATCAGGCACCGCGACATTGTGGAGGAGTTGCTGGGGGTGGTACGCTGACGTGGCAGCGAAAGGGTTGAAGCCGGCGAAGCCCAAGGAGGAGGAGGAGGGGCGGGGGAGGATGGGGCGGAGGGTTTGAGCCGAGGAGTTGCGAGCGGCTTGGGAGGAGGAGGAGGAGGAGGAGGCGGTGGAAGTGGCGGTGGAGGAAGAGCCGGCGGGTAAGGAGGGCTGGAGGTTGAGCTGGGCGCGGGAGCCGTAGAGGACGAGGGCGGCGCGGTCGTAGGCTCGGGCGGCGTCCTCGGCGGTGGAGAAGGTGCCGAGCCACTTGCGGGTCCGCTTCCTCGGCTCGCGGATCTCGGCGACCCACTTCCCCCAGCTGCGCTGCCGGACGCCCCGGTACCGGAACTTGCCGTTGTCGGGGCCTCCTTTCCCGCCGGACTTCCCCCCGCCGCCGCCCTTCTTCGAGCCGCCGGTGGAAGCGGAGGGGGAGGAAGGGTGCGGAGGGGAGGATGTGGAGTTGCTGGGTGCCGGTTGGTTGTTGTTGGTGTTAGGGTTTTCGTGGTTGTTGTCCTCCTCCATTATTTTAAAATAGTTGATGGATTTGGGCGGGCCTCGTTGTGTGGTTGGGCGATTGACTATGGTGGGAAGAGAATTAGGCGGAGGGGGAAAAAAAGGAAAAGCTGTGTTTTTTGTTCTTTCAAGGAGGAACGGTAAATGGTGGGAGAGGGCGGTGGGGGTGTTGTTCAAAAACCACTCATTCTTCTGCTGCGGATCTGGAAAATCTGCATGCGATGCTCTTCTCGCTTTATATGTTTGAGTTTAATGATATTATATATATTTCGGGTGTTGTAATTTATTGTTTTTTGTTTGCCCTGTGCACGAAGCAAAGCGACACAGGGTGCTCTGCTGACGGTTGGCTGGCTGCAATGCATGCGATGCAACTTGCAAGGTTTGGGGGTGTGTCATCGGGAATCTTGAAATCCCATTTACTCGTTTTCTCCATAGGTTCTTTTACAAAAATGCTTCCTTCGTTGAAAAGATTTGTGTTTTTTTTGGGGTTTTCTATTTCTGTTTTGTGTCTGTGATTCTTGAGTGTGATGTAGTATATACTTGGAAATCAAGTATACGTTTACTATATATGTATGTACATTTCTTAGTACTATAATCTAAACGTGATGATCAAAAGAACAATGTACTAGATCGAGCAAGTGTTGTGTTGTTCCAAACTTCTGCAAATTTGGAAATATTCTTTGTCATTATTTGTTGTAGGTATATCGATGACTATCAACTTTATGTGAAATTAGGTGACAATTTACAAAGGTATCCCCAAAATTTATGGTGTGCCACTTCCTTCCACATTCAAATCTGTAATTGCAGAATTGTCGCGCGATATGTAATTATACCGTTCTCAGCCATTAATCTTATAGGTTGTGACTTTTCACTATTTGATTGCAATCATACCTCTCTTCTAGATGTGCTCATTGTTCATCTACTAGGAATTCACATACAACTAAGTACTAACCTTCAGGGTTCTTGGGGTATGCTGACTAATGACCTCGATTATAGTGTTCCTCTCTCCAACATTTAGCAACATTTCACTCATTTGTTATGCATCATTGGTTATTTTAGCATTTGATTTCATTATACTGGTTTACTATTTGCTTACACCAGCTATAAGAATGTTTTGATTCACTTTATATAGTTTGTTTCTTGTGTTTCTTTATATACATGCTCTTAATTTATGAAGCGCGGCCTACCAGGAGCAAAGCTATGATTTAACTGTTGGAAATTATGATGTATTTTAGCTAATTTATGTTATCTCCACAATTCAGAATGAACGTTTACTATCCACAATCAACTTCATGTAAATACCTTCAACGAAGGATTCATGAGGGGATTATGGTTGCAACTTCTATTATGCTCAACTCAACAATTAGATGAAAAGAAAATAAATAATCATCATTTGTTGATCGTAGACTACTTTAGCCTCAAATAAATTTGTTTACGGTGGTGGCTACAGGGTTTTGAAGGAAATAGGAGTCGTCCTAAGTCCATTCAAAATTCAATCTCCCAAAAGTCTACTCCGAAGTAACGAGCGAGTCAATTGATATATGCTCCACCTTGTAACGCATCAAGTCGATCATCTTTTTCATATTTCTTCATTGTTGATAGAATCGCTAAATCGAGGTGTAAGGTCTGAGAATTATGCAGGCTACGAACCAATGTAACGTCTCGGGCAGTCAGAGTACCCTTGCTCTTATACTTTCCCACGCACGGACCTATTAATCACGTGGTGGATCAACTTCCATTCCGGTTTCAACTCACTAGCCTTTGATAACTTGACATCCCAAAGCCGTTTTTTTCTTGGTTCGTTCTCAACTACACTGACTATGCGTTCTCAAATACATATGGACCTATTTAAAGATAGAAAACTCGAATTATTTAGAGATGAAAGTTAACTCAATTTTTTCGAAAGAAATTAGGTTGAGATGGAGTTATCCCAAACTAATCCTTTATGTATGGAGAAATACGAGATTCGAACTTTATGAGGAATTTGTAAAATCACCACTACTAATTAGTGGTTGCTTCTGAGTTCTGCCTCAGCAGAAGAAGCACAAGTCCAAAGCAGCAGCCTGATAAAAGAAATCCCCCCCACAACCCAAGTTCGAACATATGCATTGAACCTGAGACCAGATACTTGTTATACAAAGGAGAAAAACTTGTGGCTTAGATTTCTTTAGAATCTATGGATTCGGATTCCTCAGACCTCAGTGCTGGGAACTGGACAACTAGCTAATTAACCGTGTCTCAATTCTGCGCATACGTACCAGGGGCGCAGCTGGCTATATGACGCAATTTTTTCCTTATTTTCATGTATTTATTTGTTCTCCCTGTTTTCCACTTCCTTTTCTAGGCTACTTCTGGGATTGGCAAAAAGATCTAATTTTTAGGTAATTCACAAACTCTATTTATTATTAGTCAAATAAAATTTGGATAATTTTATTTTTGGGTAGACCCACATACAAATTTTTTAAGTTGAGTCAAAATTGTACTCATATCATTGGATACCCAAAAGAAAATAATAATGAATATTCACTTTTCTAATTTTTACTTTTATTTGTTGTCAAACAATAAAAAAAATGTGAAAACACCAACATTAAAAGTATAATTGGGTTGTCAAAGGTCTCATAGCCCCATTGGTGTACCCTCGTTGGGTGCTCATTATGGATGTGTGAGGTCCTGATTTCGACCCCCCTCAAGGCCTTTCATGGTCTTCCCGATAGTACCAATTGAGATCTAATTAGTAGAGGACTCAAAGGGCTCGAACAGGTGAACTCTTGGGTTTGGTCTCGCTCCGGCATCACTCAAGCGGAATGTGTGTAGATGTTCATGGTTATTTAAAAAGTATAATTATATTGAAGGTATTGATCAATATAATATTGTCATTTTGTTGTACAATCATCTAGGCTCAAATACACTCATTTGAGTCCGCCACAAAAGAATTGACCTAAATTAGTCTCACTTCTACTGAACCAAATTTAAAATCATTAAAAGAATAACTTTGCCAAATACAATATTCATGAATTCTAACCATTGGATCGAATTACCCAAACATCTAATGAGTCCACCCATTGTCTATATCATCCCTAATTCCTTAATCCTTGTTTGTTTCTATATTATTTTCAAACTGCCAGTGTCCTCTTCCAACGCCTACGTCTTACTTTCTGCAACAATTCATTGCTTCGTTACTAAGATTGGAGCCACAGGGGAAGGGAGGGAAGTCGACAGTAGTCAGGGCTGCCGCCTTGGTTTCGAAGTAACTAAAAAGATTCGTCGATCCTTTCAATGATAAAAAAAAAAACTCTTCTCTAGCTGTTTTGCAGCTGCAGCAGCAGCAGGCTCGAAGACAAATTGCGGCCGGCCGGTTTTACAGAGAAACAGCACGAGCTGCTGAGCTAGCCGGCGGTTCCGTACCACAGAATCATGACAGCAAACAATAATAGACCCAAATCCCATCTTTTCCCCTCCCGCCCACCCGGAGCCGGAATTTATTAGACGTGGTTTTGGAGGTTAGTATTATATTCTTGGGATGCATGGTATTTGGATTTTGGAGAATTCATGTACTTGCCAAGGTTCATTGCCTTTTCCCGATATTCTACCCCAACATCAAAGAGCTCTGAAGATAGGTATTTTCAAATGTTTAAAAGGACGAGATTTGAGGTGATGATAATTAGTGGCATAGACAAAATTTCACTTCATAAGGATTCACTAAAAAAATTAGTCAATGTGTTTGATCGTCAAAGATGCAAGGTTATTCACGATTTTTTTTAATTTTAATTCGAAGATTGGTCAATCATTTTAATGCGGAAGATGTTATATTGTATTTGCGTTAACAACCGGTAACATCAGACTATACATAGTTTCACAATATATCAGTGGGAAATGGGAACCCAACTTTTCTTGAGACTATTAGTGTTGTTAGTGATACGTATGTAGCTGTTATCCGTCTTGACAAACTAGAACGTATTAAATATTGATATAGAAATCGAAAGGTAAAATTTACACACACAACCCTTATAAAAAACTAGTACTTGACTGTAGTTCGACGACTAGAATTTAGGTTTGATTTCAAATATCAATAATAGGGGTTATACGGAACCCCTTTTAAGCCTATAGCGAGTAGTATAGCTACGCCCTTAATTTGTACATTTGTGTTAAGGTACAAATTCAAATTGTACCATAACATAAAAGTAAAAAAAATTCATGGTACAAATTGAATTTGTATGTTTAACATTATGTATTGCTGGTTCAATTTGTACTTCAAAGTACATATACTTTCGAGCATAGCACAGCGACTCACGCCAGATTGCTTACAGCTACGCCAACCAATGGTGCGTCTAATAGTATGTCAATATTCATAAAAATATATAAAATTCTCATTATTTGAAAAATAAATAAATGTAATAAATAATGTTTAAGTTATCAATTTAATGCATTAAATACAATATTAAACGTGTTACATAGATTTATGCTTGTTTAGTATGATAATTATAACGAAAGAGGAAAAAATAAACAATTTGACAATAACACAAATATAAATATTTAAATATAAAAATATGTATATTCAAATGGAGTATTTAGTAACTATATACCTAAATCCTAATGGGAGCTGCATGTATCTTAAACTGGGATAGATATTTTTATCGGACACTGATTGGTGTTTTACCAAAGAGTGGGCTGGGCTTGGTGTATTCTAAGCCCACTATCGGTCTAATTTCGAATCCGAGAGAATCTGTTATTCTCAATGGCCGAAAACAGAGAATCGGCCCCTCTTCATCTCACTGGGTTAAGATTGCATGAAGAGCATGACGTGTCTGCATGTGGGATAGCCACGCAGTTGATGGCAGACCAGAGCACACAGGCTAGCCGCTAGCACTCCAAACCGACCAGCTGGGCTTGGCCGGCCAACTGCAGACATAAGACAATTTTCTGCGCCCAACAAATACATATATATAAACTTTAATAGGATGGTGTTGGTAGCTACTGAGTACTGTTTCCACTTTCCAGCATCTTCTTTTGTCGAATAGAGACTGCAACGTCTACAAGTAATTGACTGAAGGGATATCACAGACACATAGATCAGAATCTTGCAGTAGCCTTTACTTTTACCATCTTTTTCTCTTGCTTGGGGAAGGAGTGAAAATATATAGATCGGCCAAGGGAAAAAGGAGGGAGAGAGAGGGGTTATTTTTACCCTGTTCCCCAAACATAAGGGGAGGAGGGTAAATGTGTTTTGAGCTACAGAAAGGAGGAGAAAAAATTACAGTTCATGATATGAAAATTCGAAGAAGGATATGTAGAAGCACTAAAGCAGAGGAACATATACGTCTTTAATTTCCAGAGTATATTGCCTTTAACTGGATATTGGATAATACTCCTCCTAACTCATGTAATTTTGTAACATATATTATCTATATCATCGTAAAATATATTTTCTTCTAATAATTGCCATATCATCATAAACTATCATCATATTTCTTTATACCTGATGCCTTTTATATGATAGTGATAGTATTTCTGAGAGCATTCCTCAATACTACAGGTTATAATAGCCTTTTCCAACATATTTAAAGAAAAACATGTTAGTTGGATTTTCTTAGTGATTCCATATTATCTTTTGTTGTGACCAATTTTGTGAAGAATGAATTGATTCGATCCGTTCTACTAGCAAAACTGACAACCGATTATTTGAATAATTTGTTTAACACGCATATATACAATATATGTAGATTCACAATGTTAGATGGGTCGTGTTTATAATTCTTAATTTTAGGTCTACTTATAGTATTCTTGTTTATGAGGCCAATTCATAACGAATTTTTAGTAGTTTAATACGGGTTAAACCAATAAAGTGAGAACCGCTCACTATTCTGGTTCATACTTCGGTTCATTTCTCACGACACTAAGTTATATATAGGCTTATTATAGGCTACAGCACATTCGTGGAAGGATTTTATTGTTTTATCCAATTTAATTTGGATAACACTTGAGATTTTGATCAAGGACAATTATTTAAAGTATATAATTCTGTGCCTATGTTCTTATCCAACTCATCCTTAAATTACATACTAAAATGTATTATGGATTAGGGGTGGCTATACGGTATGGTCTGGTTAAATTGGACCAAATTGATCCGGTTCCAGTCCGGTCTTTTCGGGAATATAAGGACCAAAGATTGGATTGGATACAGTCCGATCTTGATCCGGTCCGGTCCCAATTTTATCTTGATTTTAGGTGTTGGGGGTCTCTTATCCGGTCTTTATCTAGTTTTTTACCTCAAATCTAAGCCCGAATATGACATTGCATTGTTTGCTATCCGGTCCCAGTCCGGGTTATACGGTCCAGTTTCGGGTAAAACCAAACAGTCCGGAACCAAATAGCCAGCCCTATTATGGATGGCTGATGGGCGATGGCATAGACAAAAAAAAAAAAAGCGTTAGTTGAGAGAGGAAGCTTCGACTTATATTTAGTTGGCAAATCCTACACAAAAGATCCCCTCAAACTAACGTATCCATTATCATGGCTTATAATTTGATTAGCCAACAGTTCCCTATTGTTTACAATTATTTCTTCAAACGCACGACCCATATGGTTCCCAATAATTCAAAAGAAGAGACTCAACTTGCTCATGCCAACACACAATAATTCGTCTATGCTATATCCTGTTTCTTAAATTTCTCAATGGAAACCACCAGCAAGTTTGATCGCTATTAGTATATATAGATTCATGAACCGCCAGCATGGTTTACAGATCTACCTAACGTGGTTTATTGAATGACGTCGATTTGGTGTTAGCTTTGATCTTGCGAATCTATTTAGTGTGACGAATGTTATTATTGACAAATTATTACTACATGAAGATCCGTGTATATAAAAGACTATTTGGATATTATGAATATCCGACAAAATCATGGGAGTGATCGATTCATATTTATAATCATGTGATTTATATATAACGGAAATTCAGATTTCATCAACAAAGATGTTGGAGTTTTGGTGACTTGTAGTCTTCTTTTTGTCCTCCTTAGCTTCTTCCTTTGTAAGTACACTGTTATTGCTCTTGTTTGGAATGTTATAGTTAATTATCCATCTAGTAAGGATTATAAAATTGTATCAAATATGGTACAGTAAAAAATTTGTGAAAAGATATTTTGTAATAAAATTACAACTTAATTGTTGTTCAAACATTTACCCCCTAAAATAACTACCAATTTAAATTATACTAAAAAATTATTTGGTAAAAAGACCGGTTGATACGATTTCACGAACTCCACATTTAAACGAAGATGGCTCCATGGGAAGAAAAAATAAAGGACGAAAATAGGGCAAACGAAGTGACACGTGGAAAGTAAAACCCGAAAAAAGTAACTTGATTGAAGGAAACATGGTCATCAGATTCAGATCATAGCAATCCCTTTCATCAAGGATCAGATTACGTGCTTTGAACATGAAAAAAGGTCTAAAAGCTAACTAAGGAAAGAAAAAAATAAGTAATAAAGAAATAAACTTTACAACTCTACTGCTGTTGACCCTAGGCAAACCCAATCATAATCCATCACCGTATCAAATTAAAAATTATATGGATCATTTTTTTGGTTATCTGATCAGTTCATTTCGTCGAATAGAAGATTGTATAGTACTAGTCATGTTCATATAACATATAAATATAATAATTACTTTGTGTTTGCCAGTTTATACTAATAATTCGATAACCAGCTGTATATTAATTTGGGGTTAATTACATGGTTGGTTACTGAGATTACAAAAAAAACGTTCATGTTTGGTCATCCGAAATATTTAAATCCATTGGTGGTCATTTGGTTTAGTAAAACTGTTCACGTTTTGTCACTCTCTGTTAGTCGCCGTCCATCTCCGTTAATGGAATCCGTTAAGTGATGATGTGGCAGAAGGAATCATCTAATCTACCTTATTTAATACAAAAATAGAGAGACCTGACCCGCCACATCACTGAGAGTCTGAGACCCTCCAGATCATCTGGACTAACCCAAATCTCTAACCTGACCCAATCCGACCCAACCTTTGAACCAACCCACACAATTTAAATCCCTAATTTCTAAAACATATCAGATCTCCACCTCCCCTTTTTCGATCGTGCCTTCTCTCTTTCTCCCTGACTTCTCCATCGTCCTCCAGCGGCAAATCATCTCCATCGGGGCCGAATCAAGAAGTTGGGTAAGGTGGAGGAGGGTTTCGAAGGCTTGGTCTAATTGTAACATTTACAGATTTGCAGCAGCTTCATCTCTTTCTTGTGAATCCAACCTACACCCTCTAACTCCAAGGCGGCATCCACTCAGAAAGAGGATGCTCCACTCAGCTCTCTCCTTCTCCGTCTTCACCACTGCCAATGAAGAAGTGGGCGAGGAAGAAAAGAAATATGGGATTCTGATGAGAACGGTGACCATTGGGGAGAGTATTGGGAGTGGGGATTTCAGCTTTGGGAAGGGGAAGGAAAATGACATGGGCTTGATTGAGGAAGTGGAGGAGAAGGACGCTGGAGTAGAAGAAGATGATGGAGATCAGAGGAAAAGTTTGACCTTCAATAAATGTGTGGTCATTCCTCCGAGCCTGAGTTTTGTCGGAGATGAGAACAAATCTGCTAGCCCTCCCATGTATCTTGCTACTGGACTTGGGTTCGACAGTGCTATAGATTTCCAAGCTGCATCATCATTCATCTTTGCTCCAGATGATCTGGTTTAGAAATTAGGGATTTAAATTGTGTGGGTCGGTTCGGGTCTGGTTAGAGGTCTGGGTTGGTCTAGATGATCTGGCGGGTCAAAGTGATGTGGCGGGTCGGGTCTTATTATTTTCGGTTAAATAAGGCTGATTAGACGATTTCGTCTGCCACATCATCACTTAACAGACCCCATTAACGGAGATGGATGACGACTAACGAAGAGTGACCAAACGTGAACGGTTTTACTATACTAAAGGACCATCAATGGATTTAAAATATTTTGGGTGACCAAACATGAACATTTTTTGTAATATCGGTGACCAACCATGTAATTAACCCTATTAATTTGTTTTGACCGATATAATTATCAATAAATTGATTTAAAATGACATTTTCCTCTTAATTTTGGTCTATTCATTACATATTATCGGTTGATTCACATTTTATTATGGACTTCCATTATGCTAATTTGTCCAATCTAACGAAATCCAATACATTTTTCGCTTTTCATATTCATCTCCCCTTCACTCATTTGATTCTCTACCCATGAAAATTAGAATGCATTAGTCACTGACCATAAAGAAGTGAAAACCAAAATAGCGAAATCATCATCGGAAAAGAATGTGAAATCACAATGTACAGTAAAAAAAAAAAAGTCAACCCAAAGGCCCCATCGGCAAAATCCCCCGTGGCAGGGAGCGGGGGAATCCGATCTGATCATCAGGATTCAGGAACATGGACTCTTGACCAAATACTCGTATTTCTCGGCCCCACTGTTAGGCACAGCCAACGTCACCCTAACGCCGTCCGCCTGACCGTGAACTGGCAGCATCAAACAGTACCTATCCACGCAAACCGGGCCCACGCTGACCGGTCTCCCCATCCCAAAGTCAACCCTCTCCATCCCCAGCCTCGACCACTGCGACACTATCAGCACCCCCACCGAGTCCGGCGCCTTCCCCCGACTCACCTCCTCCACCACCGATTCCACGAACCCCCCGTCCACTCGCTCCTTCGCCTTCCTCACCAGCATTGCCACGTGTCCCAACCCTCCTCCCTCCCCCGCCACAATCTCCCGCACGCTCGCCTGCGCGCACCCCAGCACAAACGCGTTCCCGTAGTACCCCGCCGGCACGTGCGGCCTCACTCTGTCCCGCACGTTGACGCTGAACAGCAGCTTCAGCGTCTGGTTCTCCGGCAGACTCAACGCCCTCGCCCAGCTCCTCCACACGTGCGCCGCCAGCACCTCGAACGACGTGAACCCCGGTCCGGCAGCGAGCCGTTTCAGCTCGTTTTGACTCCGCCGGTCGAAGGTCACCGAGGTCGGGGTGAGGAGCTTGTCGCTGGCGAATCGACTCGCGAACCCGCAGAGATCGGGGACGCTGCCGAACTCGGGGTGACTCACTGAGTGCAGGTAGTGGGCCGGCGGGTCGAGTAGGTGGCGATCCCAAATGGGCCTGGGCTTGGGCTTTAGATTATTCACCACATCGCCTCCTCCAGCTCCCGCCGCACGTGCCAGCCTGGCGAACGAGTTGAGGAACTCGGACCCGCCGACCCCATCGATGAGGCAGTGGTTGAACCCGACCGCCAGCGTGGCGCCTCCGTCCTTGAGCCACGTCAGCTGGACGACCAGCGGTGGGGCCCCCTTGAGCACGTCGGGGACCTGGAACGACAGCAGCTTCCTCCACTGCCTGACCGATTTGGGCGGGCCGTCGAATTCCGCGGTCTCGAACGAGTCCGAGACCGCCTCGACGAACAGCCCGCCCTGGGCCCGACAGACCACCTCCAGGCCCGGCCCGCCATCGGGCCTGGGCCGGACCCGTCCGGCCAAGGGGTAGTAAGGGACCAGAATTTTGCTCAGCGCGGACTTGATTCGGTCGGCGACGTCGACATTCTGGTGATGTGGCGGTGGTTTGAATGCGAAGAGATACTCGACGGTGAAGCGGAGGAAGAGCTGGGAGTCGAGGGCGGAGAGAGGGAGGACGTGGGACGGCGTCGGAGCGGCGGGTTTGATGACGGTGGCCTCTCTGACTTGCACGGAAGGATTGGCAGCCATTAATGTGTGGTTTAAAGGTTATGGAAATGGTGAGGGAGAGGTTTCTTTTTTGGTTGGGAGGGTATATAATGTGGGAATATGGAGAGTGTTTTGTGGTGGTGTGTCGCTCGTCGTCGTAATCATTATAATAATGATTTTGTTTGTGTTGATTGATTTTTTTTTATTTTTTTTTATGGGATTTGGGTGTGTGGGTGCAACTGTGAAAGATTTGTGCCAAGATTCTCCGGGCATAACTTTATTGTGGGGGGAAATATTTTGTAAGGAAACAAACAGAGAAAAAGGTTAATAAAAAACAGCTTGGACCTCTGCTTTCTGTCTGTTCGGCGACTTGATATGAATGATATGATTGCTGCCTTTACTTAATTTCTAGGGTTAATATTTTTGTATGGCCTGAACTTTGACCAAAATAAACGTCCTAGCCAATCTTTTTTATCTATAACATCCTGGCCCGAACTATCCATCAAAATAAACAATTTGGCCAGATCCGAATTTTGACCGTTAACTTGGACGGTCAAACGCGTTGACTAACAGTCAACGCGCCATGTCATCACCCAATCAGCTTAAATTAACTTAAAAAATTCAAATATTTCTCAAATTTTGAATTTAACTATTAAAACCTAGAAAAATTATTAAAAAAAATCAAAAAAAAAAAACAAATTGGATTCCCTCCCTTCCGCCAACCACCCATTCTTTAACCCAATTAAATTAAAATAAGAATGGAATCCTATGTCAAAATCTAATCCCTTCCCCCACCGCCATGTTCCGAGTTGTTAACCCGCCGCCGCCGGATTCTGCGGAACCCTCTTCGCCATCTTTTCAGCTTCCACCCCAGAAATCGACGGAACCGCTTCAGCTCAACGATCTTGTTTGGCAAAACCAGAAACAAAATCCCAACCTCCTCCTCCTCCTCCATCGCTTCTCGCTATAAACCCCCAGAACAGCCGCCTCTCGAACGGTAAAACGATGGTGATGCTCCGACGATCTATTCAGCTCCTCTCTCGAAATTGCCATTTCAGATCTGCTATCAAAACCGACCTATCTCATCCTCCTCCTCCTCCCCTTCCCATTCCATCGAACTCTCCCACCGACTATTTCTCCAAATCGGCTTCCTTTTCCAAAATCAGAAGAACCTCCCTTAATTTCGAATCGCTCGACTAGTCTTGTCCCGCGCCGCCGCCTGATTCTTCCTTCCAGCCCCGAAACCTATGTACAACATCATCAGGAAGAATCTCAACATGATTCGAGTCGGAGCGCCGCCGCCACCAGTCAAATTGCGAAAGTGCAGCGGTGGTAGCGAAGACCTCACGAAGCCTGAGATTTTACTCGAGAGTAGAGGCGAACTAGATGGTGTAGGGAGACGGGAGGATTACGATGGCGGCGGCGAGTTTAGAAGAATGCCCGCCGATGCATTTTCGTCGGACGGAGGAGGAAGATTTTTGTTGGAAGGAAGGCGAAAGGGAGGGGCTCCTGGGTTTTTTTGTGTGGTTGGGGTTGGGGATAAGTGGATGATAGGGTTAATGAAGGGAATCCGACAATTTTATTATTATTTTTTTTGCTTTTTTTAATTTTTTAATAATTTTTCTAGGTTTTAATAGTTAAATTCAAAATTTGAGAAATATGTGAATTTTTTAAGTTTATTTAAGCTGATTGGGTGATGACATGGCGCGTTGACCGTTAGTCAACGCGTTTGACTGTCCAAGTTAACGGTCAAAAGTCGGATCTGGCCAAATTGTTTATTTTGATGTATAGTTCGTGCCAGAATGTTATAGATCAAAAAGATTGGTCAGGATGTTTATTTTGGTCAAAGTTCAGGCCATACAAAAATATTAACCCTAATTTCTATGCTTAATCGAGAAACTTTTTAACTTTGGATTGACGAGTTTACCGACTTTAAACGTGGTCTCTAATCCTCTTTTCAATTGAATTAAAATCCGGCCTATTCTTAATTAATTATATATACTTGTTCTTCTCTCTATGAGTAGGTAATTTCTGTTAATAGGCTATTGGAATTGATGAATGCCTAAAGCGTAATATGATAATAATAATTTGGTCTAGTATTGAAACAATTGAATTGCACATCGTGAGTCAAGCGGTTAATTTGATATTCAATTAATATATTTTTAGCTTATTTATCAGATTTCTGATCTGTTTTTAAAAATTTATGGACTATTCTTTTACTTTATTTATTTGTTTTAAGTAAATTAGTAACTTAACAATTTGTTTCATTTGTTAGTCTCCTATAGCAACAAACTTTAAGACATTACTTGTTCTCTCGATCTCCCTCCAATTACAATATATATATATATATATATATATATATATATATATATATATATATATATATATATATATATATATATATATATGCTGGTGTTAGTAAGATCTGATACTGTAATTCACTATATCTTTCAAATGCATAAGTATGGCTCGTCAAATGATCCAATGGATTTATAGAATTGTTAATTTAGTTGAATAAAATGTGAATTATTGAGATGATGGTGACCGACCGCCGGTTCATTATTGGGTTGGCATTTGGCAAGGAGAAACAGTGGAAGAATGGATACAAATATGCTCACATCCTGAGATTGGACAGCGGGAGGAAATGTGAGCCTGCCTAGTTATTTCATGTCGGTGCCGTACTTAGATTTTCTTCAGCCACCCAAGTCCTTTGTCCCTTCAATCGAATTCTTCCGTCCAAGTGGTCCATTTCAGGCCAACATAGTACAGTTGGGCAATTTGGCTAGTGTATGAGTAGTTGGAGTAGCATTATTAATCGTCCATCTCAATAACTTGATTTGTTTGAAAGTTTATATCAATTGGTTCTTTACGTGATATTACGGTTTTTTGTGATTGAGATATTTTATGTTCGAATCTCGATCGTCCTCATCTGTTAAGTTAAGTACATGATATCTCGAGCTGCATGTGCAAATTTTAACCTCATAGGGGTCGACTTTTGTTTGAAGGGGTGTGTTAATAAATAATATGTGATTCATAATTAAACATTTACCAACAACTCGAATTATTGGAATCTACTGATTTTTGACAGTTGATATGAGTAAGTGTGTAAGCAGTTAATGTCGTTCGATCGCGCGCATTATCAACCATTACATCACCGTAATCGTATTTGTAGAAGTTAAGAGTTGGAAAACCGTATGATACAGACCAGACCGTATATCCGATGAAATGAGAGGCTGGAGCATACACTATTTCAGCCACCTCCACTGTCCCATTTTGATCACAGACATAACATAAAGAGATTGCCTGAGGATCAGAAACTTTGCAATCATCAACACTGTGCAGGTGACTATTGATGACGAAAAGATCTTTAGGACAATGATCACCAAACCCAATTACTACGGCCGGCCGGCAGGGGTAGTTGGGCTGGCTTTGTGCTTCTTGTCGTTTTGGTTACTAAAGATCGGATTGTAGATTTGATGGAAGGACTCCAATAAAGTCAGGAAATGCAGAGATGGTGGTGTGAATTATAAGGAAATTAAAAGGTAAGCTAGTTGGCCCAATTCACTTTCCGATAAGATGATGGAGAAACAGGGGAAAGGATTGAATTTCGTTTGCACGTTCTGCATGCCTTTTCAACTTAAAAGTGGTCACTATATGTATCGATCTATCGACATCAGAGTAGCAGGCGCAGCAGCACTTTTCGATCAAGATTTCTCCCTTGATATAAGCAGAGATTTCGGTCCGATTTCCATCATCATGATCGATCTTTGGCGGCATCCATTGTCATGTGTAGCCTGCAGGGGAAAAAAGTCCAACCAGGTAACGTGTGTTGTGTGCAATGTATATAGTTTGTCCGCCTGCGCGCCGATTCCCTAGTTACATAGCCCAAGTATGTTAAGATTGTAAACCTACGTACCTACCTACGTGAAATGAATGTTAGACCATCTCCATCCCTGCAATAGAATAGCAATTTCATAAGTGGACCCTACAGCCACGTTAGCAATTATTCACTTCAACCATTTCAAACCACCTGCATCCCTGCAATAGGTTAGCAATTGCAATTGATGAGGCCTACTACATCAAGTTTAACAATTTGTGTATTCAAAGTGGGTAGAAAAGAAAGAGAGAAAAAAAAGAAAGATTTTGAGTGCATAAATGTGGGGTCCAATTGTCTATATGGCATTGCAAGAAGGATTGCTTATTTAGCAATCTTGCTAAATAAGCAATAAGTCCTACATCCTTGCAATTGCTTAAAGCAATTGCCACATGGGATTCCACCCAATAAGCAATTGGATGGAGATGGTCTTACAATGCTCTTAAGCAGTGGCGGACCCAGCAATTTTATATAGAGATGTCATCTTTTAAAAAATAAATTAAATAAAAATAAAAAATAATTAATTAATTCTTAATTCTTAAATAAGAAAATACCTTACACGTTCAAGTTAAAAAAGTCAACAATGTATTTTCATATTCGAAAATAATTGTAGAATACACTTGATGTCTACACGGCTCAAAATAATTGTCTCTCTATAACCTACTAGAAAATCATTTACGAACTGATAACATATTCGATTTCTAAACTTGTTTTTTATGTAACCCAAAGCTGAAAAGACTCTTTCAACACTTGTCGTACAAGTTACAACCATAAAATCAATACAAATTAAGGGTATCTTGGAATTAGTTTAATTGTTAGGTTTTGAAAATAATTAGAAATAGCTAGGGAATGTCATTTTACTATTACACAGTGTTTAAAATCGAACAACAAATGAGTTGTAGCCTAATAAAATTATGTTTATTAATAATAATATTGTGCTAGGTTTGAATTATCCAAACTACCTCTTATAGTCTCATGCGCAAACTAAGAAATGAGAGTAGGATAATCATTTTTTCAAATTTCAAGGGTGTCCTCCCATCAATAATAATTTTTTGTCCATACTTAAACTACCACCGGGGGTTGGATAATCGTTATCCCAAAATTTAGGGGTGTCCCGGGACACCCCCAATGTGCCCTGGGTCAGCCACTGCTCCTAAGCCCGTTGTGTTTTCGGGTACAAGTTAAATTTGTATTATTAGGTTAGACTAGCCGTTCAATTTGTAACATAAAGAAATTTGTTCAAAAAAGTATAGATACAATTTGAATTTGTATCATAACGTTAAAAGTACAAATTCAATATGTATCATAACATGATACTTTTTTTTCAAACAAAATCTTATGAGCACAGTAGCGTACCTATTTTAATATATGTTGAAATACAAAATTTTGAACTTATGGTTACGATCACGTAATCACGGGCGACATTTAAACTCCACAAAGCTATTAAACTATACCAATATCATTGAAATCTATACCACCACAATACAAAATGGTTTTATATGTCACAAGAACATTGTCGGTCGACATGAACAAAAATTTTCTAACAAAAAAAAATCGTTCCGACCAACTGGTCAAACTCAAAACATGTAATATACTAAGGGGTCGTTTGGAGGTTAGGATTTTAGATGAAGGATTTAGCCAATACATGCATTGAGAAGATTAAGTCGTTTTTTGTCAAATTTGTAACAGAATACATGCATTACCTTTTTGGGGGCCCACTCACAATCCCTCAAAATGAATTATTGTGAATCTCTACCTAAAGTTGAGATTTAAAACAAAGGATTGTGTCATATCTTTTTATTCCATTTTTGTCCCTGCTATCTTTTCTTTATACCAACAATAACCTCATCCTCCACTACTCTTCTATCATTGTCATCAAAATTCTACGAAAGCCAAAAAAGGGAGAAAACTTCCTTGCTCCTCCCTCGAAGACAGTCGTCGGAAGTTCAACAAAAGAAAAATCATTGAACTCCCCTGCTCCTCAGTCCACGCTAATCCTTGAAGTCCCACAGGATTAATCGCTGCATCTTCACCATCATCACGGAATCGGCTTGGTAGCTGTATCTCCCCATCGAAATTCATCGCGAATCGAAGAAGAAGAGCCGACTTCTGTTGCGAATTACTACCACACGAACCCAGCACAATGCCCTCTCCTCTCTTTTTCTCTTCATATTTCTTAGGGTTTTCTGAAGATCGGGCCTAGGGGATCTTGAATTAGGTGGTAGATCCAACTCGTCGTATAGAGAATAGGGTCGTTTGCCCTCGACCCAATTCTTCTTCAATATTGTACGAAACAGGGATCATCATACTTCCTCCTCTTTTTTGGCATTTTTAATTGAGAGTGGATGGTGTCGATGGGGTTTCGAGTTTAGAGGAGATGGTGCTAATTGGTAATTAATTTCTTGGCCGGAATTTGAGTTGGGAGGGATATGAGCGAAAGTAATTAATTGAGATGGCTGGAGTTGATTTTTGAAATCGGGGAAGCTTTGAAGTTTCTGCAATCCTAGCGGTAACAACGTGGTAGCGGCGAGACGACGATGATTCTTTGCATTTTTTTTTCTTTTTCTTTCATTTGCAAGAACAAAAAGTTGAAGGGTAAATGTGTATTTTTCTTCAAAAAGGTGTGTTGCTTTTTAATTTATGAAAAAGTAGAATCATAGATACCAAACAATGTATTTGAGAAATACATTAATTTGCACAATACATATAATTACAATACACCAATTCATTGAATCCATCAATTTAGAAAATCACAACCTCCAAACATGCCCTAAGCATATGAAACTATTTTTGATAGTCAAATTGAAAAATAAAGGGTTATAGGTATAATATGTCCATCTACTATGTCGTTTTATCAAACATGTTACATGCCCCTCTACTATTTTTTACATCAAACATGGGAGGAAATTGTCAGTTTTCTCCCCTGTTTTATTTTGATTGGTCTCTTCAAAGTGAAATTATTAGAATTATTATACAAAGGAACCAAAAAAAAATTATAAAGCGAAATTATTGGGGATATTTTAGACATTTGTGTCGCCCAAACCAAAATTTGGTCGTGGTTAACGGTTTTTGGATGAAAATTTTAACAAAAAGGCATGTTTGATCCTTTTTCAAAGTATTGGGGCACAATTGATGTAAAAAAATAGAAAAGGAACATGTTTGATAAAACGACATAGTAGAGAGGCATATTATACCTATAACCCAAAAATAAACTATAACCAGGATCTCTATGTAGATTTAAAAGAAAAAATTTGAGGGAGTACGGTAGTAAAAGTATGAATTCTTAAAATTTCAATGGTATGGTTGTCAAATCAGTGGCTTGCCTGTCGTACAATTGGATTCAACCAATATCGATTATAAAGCGGCTGGAATTATTATCTCCAAATAAAAAGATGACATTTAGGTGAATTATAATTAAAAAATTATTTGTTTGTCGAATTTGAAAGTTTAATATTGATACTATTTTTTTATTGTTTAGATGTTTGTGTATTTTTTAGGATTTAAGTATAAATGTTTGGACGTTTGCGAACTTAGCATTATATGTCCAAAATCATTTAGTGTTAATGATTTCTCACTTATTTTTGTTACTAAAACTGACATAACAGTATAAATCCATTGTACCACTAGTAAGATCATACCACTTACCAATCCATTATATCAGTATAAACCAGTTTGTGTATTTTTTTAGGATTCAAGTATTCGGTTATTGGGGAAAAATCAATATACTTCTAATGTCGAATCGGAATCGACTAGAACAGAAATAAAGCATTGGGTCGTACTCTTCTTTGGTGTCAAGGTGATAGCTATGAATGGTCATCGACTCTCAGTAAAGGGTAGAAGAGTGAGATCTATTATGGAACATACAATGCATTCCAGACGTATGATCATTACGCTTCAACCCCTATAACCTTTAGGCCCAATATATAATTGAAGATTAACTCATTGTTTTTCTTTTATTTCAAAATCATACTGGATCTTCAGAACGATGTCGTTTCACGTCTGAGAGTTGTTATTCACTTATTTGGGCTTTCTCAATTCATCTTCAAGTTTTAATCCATTTTCCTATTTCTTCTTCTTTCGCCAACAAGTACAACATAACTGGGCTTTCGCTTCAACTTCGGACTTTCATTTGTTAGGCCTGGTGGTCGTCCAACCAAGGCCTTATATAGTTATATTTGGCAAGCGTCAACCTTTATCGGTTGTTCACTTGTTTGTAGTGATGGCAATGGGGCGGGCGGGTAACTCAATTCTCATGTCCCACCCCACGTTACTACGGGTCGGGGCGGGTAAAACCCGCACGGATACGGGGCGGGGCAGATCGACCCACTCTTACATGTTGTTCAAAAAAAAATACAAGTAAATTTTACTTTTTACAATAAAACGTAAGGAAAACACTTTAAGAATGAAAAATATTGATAATAGAATGGATAATTGAGCCTAACAAGTTGAAAGATCGACTCTAACTAGTTGAAGAAAAGTCAAAATAGGAGAAATATGTATAGATATTGTAAGAAATTGAGATAAAATGAGTCTAGAATGGGGCAGGGTGGGTTGGAAGTAGATACACCATGCCCCGCCCCACGCTACTGCGGGTCGGATAATACCCGCCCCATCGTGGATCAGGTCGGATAATACCCGCGGGGCGGGTTGAAATTGCCATCACTACTTGTTTGGCCGTGTATTTGTGAAATGTGATTTGTGCATTTAAATACTAGATAATCAACACGTATTATGTACATATTATTTTGTATGTAGTATTTGTCATACATATTATAGTTAAAAAAAATGTTAGAAATAGTAAAATTGATGATTTGGCATTTTCACTAAATGTTTGGTTTAAAACTCGCATGCACGATCTTGAAACAATATTTTCAATTATTGACACATGGTTAATATTTTCTCAAAATGTCATTGTTGATTGAATTTATTTTTGCTATATTATTTACTTAAGTGAAGAGGAATGAACAAGATTTTGGTCTAAGAGATAAACATAACTCATGAGTGATATGACGGTTTAAAATGGGGAAGGGAGGTGATGTAGAACGTACTTGTTTCATAGTCGATAAGTTATGTGCAAGTACAAAAATCATCAATTATATTTTTTCAGGCTCAAGAAAAATTCACTAAAAAATTATATCAGTGACATTTTCTAGAAAAAAACATTGCATATCATGGTAATGGATAATTCTGCCATTCCTTCCTATTTACCAATATTACATACATAGATTAGATCCCTTTAGGATTTTGGAAAGAAAAACAAAAAGGAAAATTGGAAGATTATTTTAGATTCAAATAAAAAGGCCAAGAATAATTGAAAAATGAAAAAAAAGAATACCATAACATTTTTAGTATACTCACCACTAGTATTTTTAGAATAGCATATTTGTTAGAAATATCACAATCTAAATCCCACATTTGTTTTCTTATTATCCAAACTCGGCATCTGTCACCCATAATTTTAACTAATTAGTAATTAGCAAGATTTCTATGTATTAAAATTCGAAAAATATATATATTAAAAATAGTTATTTGATTTCCCGCTTAAAGGCAATTTGATAGATGAAGGATACGTAATTGCTATTAAGGGAAGGGTTCTGGAGTTTTTAACTTTTAGGAAATTAATTTCCTGATTTCCTCCCAAACAGCACTTTAGTTTAGTTTAGTCCCTGACGTCACCGCCGGGAACAGTAGGCGGCCGTCAGATCCCTACCATTCCCTTCACTCTTTCATTCTTTCTCCCCCCATCTTCCTTCCAATCGAATCTTTTCCCTCTTATCCTGCGCACACCGGCCGACAACCCAGTGCACTTTAGCAAACTTGATCTCTCTGCTACTCCTTTCCTCCTAAAAATGGAACCCTCAACCTCCCGATCCCGCACCGGCGGCGGCAGCGGGGGGCGGGAAGACTGCTGGAGCGAAGGCGCCACGGAGACGCTAATCGAGGCGTGGGGTGATCGCTACGTCAGCGTCAAAGGCGGAAATCTCCGCCAGAAGGACTGGAAGGAAGTCGCCGATGAAGTCAACTCGCGGCGCAGCGGCGGACCGAAGAAGACCGACATCCAGTGCAAGAACCGAATCGACACTTTGAAGAAGAAGTACAAGGTCGAGAAGGCCAAACCACCGCCGTCGAAGTGGCAGTTCTACCGCCGCCTCGATTCCCTCATCAGTTCCGCCACAACGGCCTCCGGCGCCGCCGGCAGTGTAACCCTAACTGTCAGACCCAAATCCAAATCCAAATCGAAATCCCAATCTAAATCACTTCTGCTTAAGGCTGCCGAAGAGCTGTCGGGCGGGTCGGATTCAAGCTGGTCCGGCGGGGACGGCGATGCAGGGTTCGACCAGAGGGCGGTGAAGAAGCAGCACCGGATGGAGGACGTAGGATGCTCCGATGGAGCTGCCTGTAGGGAATTGGCGAGGGCGATTCTGAAATTCGTGGAGATATACGAGAAAGTAGAAAGCTCGAAGCAAATTCAGATGGTGGAGCTGGAGAAGCAGAGGATGGAATTCACTAAGGAGCTTGAGTTTGAGAGGATGAACATGTTTATGGCTGCACAATTGGAGATGGAAAAGAAGAAGTCACTGAAGAAGCGAGCCAAAGACGCTTCTGGGTCAGGTTAAAATTCCATCAGCAATCTACCATTACAGTTGTTTCCCCCTTTTTGGTTTCGTCTTCCTTTACCAATTGTAGCAGAGAGTTGACGAACAGTTCATGAATCTAGGAAGTTGACTATGGTAGTATGGTCCTTCGGTTTGGTGGTTGTTTGCCAAGCCTGCTGTTTATGGGCTAAAGGTCAACCCTTCAGATTTTGACATTAACAATGATTAGAAGCACACTTGAGTGATGAGTAGAGTAGTTGACCATACATTCATCATTGCGCCATTGTTAGAGATAGGGACTGCGAGAAATGAAAGGTGTGATCTTTGATGAGAACCAATTTACCATTTCGGTTGTTGACGCTCACTTGAGTTTTACATTTGCAGGTGGAGACTAAATTCCTGCAAACTGGATGCTATTTAATTGGGAACAAGGGAGGAATTTAGTACTAGAATCACATCTGCTGCTCTTGTCTAACCACACCTCTAGAGAAGGAATCATCGAACTCCTGTTGCTGCAATCGAAGTCTGGGGTGGAGAATGACATGACTGCTCTTTGTATCTTATGGCTTTAAGTTCTAACATCGATTAACTCCTTTGTACATGTGATTAGGTTGTTTTCCGCTACCGGGTTTCTCTGCACTTGGTATAATCCAGAGATGATAAAATCCCTCACTCTGTACCTTTTGTACTACTACGTCTACTACTACTGCAGCTGCTGTAGTTAATGGCATTCCTTTGCTTTCCCATTCGGAGTGGGTCTGTAATGTAGGTTGTTATTGCAATAAAGGCACCACCTTCCCTTCACCTCGAGCAATATTTCTTGGGTTGGATCTTGGTGTCCCCTTGAATTATGTCTCTGCATAAATGGAGATACAGATGTCATCCCCAGTTTTTTTTTACCATTTCATCTGTGGTGAAAGCTACAGAGCTTGCTCAAAATGGATGGTTTTCTTTTGCAGTTGCTAGCAAACTCCTCTACAGTGTTCTTCCCAATTGCTGGTGGTTGAGACCAAAAGGAGAAATATCTGAAACGTACCCTAAAGTGAACTCTGGAAGCTGACACCACTTGCTTTCTGAGATGAGAGCAACAATTAAAAAGCTGACAATCTTTGGATTCCTATTTGCCCACCATGTAAAGTGAACCGGCGGGGTGTGGCCTTGCTTGTTTCGTGGGGTAGGACTTGATGAGGCGACATCATTAGCCAATGCTCGGCATTGTGAATTGTGATGGCCACTTGACTGATTTTACCATTTCTTCTTTGTTGGGTATTCATGAACATCGGAATTACTTATGAATCCGACGAAAGGGAGAGAAATCCGTTTCCGTCTTTATGTTGACTTCCAGTTTGAGAGCAGCAATTTCTTCACATCAATGGTTCTGCTTTACAGGATACATGGGAAAGGAAGAAGAAGAAGAACAACAAACGCTGATTTTGATCATGGAAGAAACAGAGTCCCCTGCATTTTCATTTCCACCCTTCAAGGTTTATACAAAAAGTAGATAAACAGTACTGCAGATTGCAGAAGACGACATCAGAACATATATGGGAATTGCCCGAAATCGCTGCCGGCGGGTCCATCTTGGCTCCACTCAGACTGGTTATTATCATTACTGCCAAACCCATCAATCAATCCACCGCAGGCCACCGGGAATTCACATTCACCGAGATTTTCCATTCCGGCGATGGAAGCTGAGGCAGAGTTAGGCAGAGAAGATGTAACAGAAGCTGTACACCGAGCCAGACGAGCTCTGGCGAGGGCAAGATCGACTTGGAGCTCAACCATTCTCCTCTGCAGCAGGGCTATGGCGCCAATGCAGCCATAGACAGGGTCTCTGAGCCTGGCCTCGGCCTCATAGGCCAAGGAATTCACCGTGTCTTCCCGCTGCTCCTCGGGCACTTCAGTCAGGATCTTGCTCACGTTGCTAGCGCCGAAGACCTTGTGGACCTTGGCGAACTTCTTGGGCTCGTCGGATCGGAAATGCGGAGCGAAGATGCAGTTGGAAGTGCAGCGTCGCTTGAGGAACTTGCAAGCTGCGCATGAAGAGCTTGATCGAGGCTCCTGATGATGATGATTTCTCATGATGCTGCGGCCCTCCTCTCTCGCAGAGAAGAAAACCACATTCCCCAAATAGCCTTATCTTTTTTTTTGTTTTAGGTGCGTGCTTCTTGGCTTGCCTCCCCGCCAGCCAGCCTTTATATAACCACTCAATCAGACTGAGCGTGTGGCAATTAGGTTGACAAGGGACAAATACACGATTGAATCAATAGGATTGTGATGTAGTGTAAATATAATACATAATGGTGTTTTCACTCAATATTGACATCAAGGCCTATTAGCTCAGCTGGTAAGAGCGTCGTGCTAATAACGCGAAGGTCACAGGTTCGAGACTTGCATGGGCCAAAAAATTTTTGTCTCTTTTTTTTATGAAACCTAAAGCTATCTTTTGAGTTTTGAGGGAAGTGGTGAGTGGGGGAAGACCCATATGTGGTGGTGAAGTGTCAAGATGAGACATGATGGATCACCCACAAGTAAAATTGAAGGATGGGATATCTCATTGCAATTTGCTTGCTGGGGTTGCAGTTCCATTGGAAAGAAAGAAAGAAAGAAAGAAAGAAACTTGAGCAAGGAAAAGGGCAAGCACTGCCCCTCTCACTCATCAAAAGTTGGCCACTTCCAGACACAATAAGGGCAATCCTTTTGGGACTGAAGTGAAATGACTACTTGATGATCATGAAGGGAATCTCTCTCTCTCTCTCTTTCTCTCTACACCAACAAATTAGTGGAGCCAATGAGTTACAGCAACTCCACTAAGAGAAGGTGGAGTACTGAGTGAGTAAAACCCAATTCTTCTTCTTCTGCCCCTACATTTTTTTTACCTCTTCTTTTCTGTTGTTTTTTTTTTTTTTACCTCTTTTACGCTGGGGAAAATAGTTGTTTTTGTCTCGCACGTAAACAAACAAACAGTCACATAAATGCTTTGTCACTTGCTGCTATACATAAGGCAGACACAAAAAAATTGGACAAATTTCATATGAGAGAAGATGAAAGCTAGAGACGATGCATTGCATGCTCCCATGGTAATTGTGTAAGCGGTGAATAATGTCGAAGCCACTGTCACTTTTTGTTGTTGGTTATGATTCAATCAAGTTTATAATCAATGTAACTTTTTTTTTTTTTGATTCATAATGTAACTTTTTTTCAAACCATATATTCGTAATTTCGTATATAAAAAATGTAGAAAAATGTTATAAATTTAGCTGAAGACTTAAGTTACAAGATTTTATGATTTCAAACATCATGTACTTGAAAATTAATTCAAAAAATAAAGATTTCATAATAGTTAGAGTCTTGCGGACAAAATATATTATTTATTATTTACATGAGAGACATGTTCATGAATACTTATTTCTTAGCCCTTTTCTTATGGTTCTCAAAAAATTTCCTAAAATCAATTCTTCATGATCAAAATGAATATCAGACTTGACATATTCGTCCAGAAGGATTTCAGGTAATTTTGACGCATCATTTGTTTCTAATCTTAAAAATAAACCAAATAAAAATAAAGGACGACGTGATGCGACAAATAATAGTAGTATAAAATGAGTCCGATAAATCAAGTCGTGTACCATCCTAATAAAATCGGTAGCAAAAATGATCCCATATCAGAATCATTACCCTAACATTTCTACCACAATCAATAAGTTTGCTTCATATTATCACCCTTTCCACAGCCCTATCACGTATGAGCTATGATCAGATAGCTAGCTTCCTATCTATAGCTTCTGAACTTTCATTTCATTTTTCTGTTCATTGCAAGACGGACAACGATGTATTATTGATCATGAACTCACACAAATTATTGAGTCCGATCTGAATTCATCATCCCCTAACTCGACACTTGTAACTTTGCCCACCACTTCAGCACTAGACATGTACCTTTACAAAATAAACCAATGGAAGATAGATAAATATTATCGATTTTGTTTTAATCCCATTCGTTTTGTTTAATAGTCGTCATTCACTCATTTGAACCATGTGATTCGCATAAAACGATCTCAATAATTAATTGTAATACCATTACAAAGAAAATGGATGAATTTGCATGAAAATTATTTAAGGTATTGGTGTATACTCTATATGAAGTAACATAAACCTTCAAGTTTGGCTTTGTATATGTTGGTCAATGATTACTAAATTTGACCAAATGCAACATGTATAACTATAAACTCACTCACTATTTTCAAAATATCTTATCAGTTAACTTTTAACTTCCATTCTTATACAATATAGTCCAACCAATATGTAATAACCGCGCTGCTACGGATCGGGAAATCGCTGGAATCGACAAAGTAAGAAAACGAAAACAGAAAGCACACGATACACGATTTACGTGGTTCACTAACACAATGTGTGTTAGCTAGTCCACGGGCAGGAGAGCTAGTTTCACTATATCGAGGAGATTACAGATTACAGAGTAGATGAGAAGTATTTATACTTCTCCATGTGGGTCTAAAACTAATCCAATCTGATAAAGGAAACGATTACCTAGACCCAGAATCCGAACCCAAATAACATTGAACCCGTACACCGACTATTCCAGTCATAGCGGCTAATAATCTGATTCAAGTCACATCAACACTATACTTCGAAATAAACCTGTATTTTGACGAGTATATCAATCAAGAATTGCCACAAATTCAAGCGTGAACTTATTTTTGAAGAACACATCTTCGAGTTCACACACGGCTAGAATCGCTTCTTGCAAAGTAGCATACATTAGATTTGTTTTTTATTTTATTTTAAAAATGCATACATTAGATTTGTTAATTACTCGATTGGATGTTCTGCATGCCCTTTCTTGATCTTCGATGTGAATCCATAAGAAATTGGTATTATTTATTTGTAGAAAACAAAAGGTGAGATAAGGTTTACCAATACCCATCATGAAGGTTATCTCATAAACCCTAACATCAACGTGGTGGCAAATTTGTTGTATATATAGACGGCGAAACAAGAGGATCGGACCACACTATTTTTCCTTTTGGACGAAAGGCAGCCCTCATTTTCACATACCGTCAGTCGAAAGTCGCACTATTCAATTGCTACGACAAATGATCGCTTGGTCGTCGTCCACTTGTTTGGCCGTCTAGCCAAATCGAACAACTCAAAATATATATACTCAAAATATTAATCCGTGTTTTAAAGCACATGATATGACAAATTTGTACAAATTTTTCAAATTTATAAGTTGGTTTTCATTTGACGAGCATGTAAGGAAGTGGTTAAGATTCATACTAGAACCTTTCCCAACAATTCAAATTATTGAGATCAGATGGTTCATGAAATGATATAAAAACAATACGGTCTTAGTCATTTTCTTCAACAATCATGAGTGGCCAATACGGAGATGTCCGTACCCTTGGTATTTTGTCTTCTGCAGTCGCTAAGACTACAGAAGTTTGATGTCAGTTTACAGCTCGCATCAGTTCGATAATCATGAACACATACTGGTTACGATGTTCTTAAATCTTAACCACTTCCTTGCATACTTAAACTCAATTCACCGCTTACACATGTCTACTATATATATTTTTATTTAAATACACATTATTAGAAATTAATAAGACCAAATGAGCACTCCAATAAATGCCAAGAGGCAAGAAGTTGACAACTTCAACGGTTCAAACAACCTCCAAATTTAGGAAGTGATCCCAACCTAAGGTTCGTCCCCCCATGCCTACACCTTAAACAATCCAACTGCGGAATTAATTTTGGAGGAAATTAAAAAAAAATGCATAAGGTTTCATTCCAATGTAGGGTTTGAATGGTTAAAGATAATAAAAAATAATGGGAGTAGTATATAATTTATTTTATTATATGTAAGGAAACCAAACCCACAGGTGCTCTCCAAGTGGCAGCAGCCCACGACTTCCAAATCGGCTCTAGTACCCAACCACATTGAGTACAAGAAGAAACCGTCAAGAACCATGCAAGTTTTTTAAACAATTCATTTCTTTATTATTTTGTGAAGAGGAATGATGGTTGGTTCTCCTAATCTCTTGCACATATAATACTACCTCAAGCTCAAAGACTATTCTAAAATTCTACAGTATAATTTGCTTTATTTAGGTCAAATCGGTTCAGAAATCGACCTAATCGAGATCGAATCGGATGTAAGAAAAAAGTTAAAGCGTAAAATAAAATTCAAAGTACATTTCCTCCAATTTGAATTTCGATTTCTTCTATTTTCCCGTAATTATCAAAAAATTTCGTGAAAATTGAAATCCGAAGCACATTTATATACCGTTCAATCCGATTTGAATCAGATATTCACCCAATTCGATTTGATCTGGCGTGAAACAACCCAATACCCATTTCGATTTGCAAACCCCTGCTCGCATTCTATAGTTGGTAAGGAGGATTTTTGTTGTGCTCACAGATTTGTTTTCTTCTGAATTTTAGTTGATTATTATTCTCAAGGTGATTGGAGCAAGATAATATATTAGTAAACATTGATCGATGAAGACAATTTCTTCAAGTCGTTCCAATACTCCAAACGGTCCAAGACAAACAAGAACCAGTCATCTAATGTCTTCTCATATTTCCCCTTTTTCTTTCTGAACAAAGATTCATACATATACTGATATACCTTCACTTCTCAGGTTCTCTGTGCTACACAATCATTCATGTAATCAACCAGCTTGCTGCATTAATCCTCCTTCAACCATGATTACCTCTGCCTTCCTGCCCACAGGGCCGCTCCTCGAATCTCTGATCAACCTCTCCAATGAAGTCACAACAATGGAGAACATTCCACCGGTTCAGTCAAAGAACATCTCCACCATGATCAGGAGAATCAAGCTTCTCTCCTCCCTCTTCGAGGACATCCAAGACAATTCTTCAAGATCCCCACTCCCTCCGTCGTCGATCCTCTGCCTCACTGAGCTATACTCCGTGATTCGAAAGGTCAAGCTCCTGATCCAGGAGTGCAGAGAATCGAGCTCGATGTGGCAGCTGATTCGGACCGAATTCGTGTCGAATCAGTTCCATGTCTTGGTCAAGGACATGGGTCGAGCTCTGGATATCCTGCCTCTCAGCCTGCTGAGGTTGAGCCCTGATACTAGAGAACAGGTGGAGCTTCTCCACCGGCAGGTCAAGAGGCTGGACTTGTTCGTCGATCCTAAGGAGATTGAGAGAAAGGAAATGGTTTGTTCTGTTATTGCCAAGAAGAATGACAGGGTTTTCGATTTCGTGAGGGTCAAGGATGTTTTCGTCAGCATCGGGCTGAAAACTGCGGTCGATTTCGAGGGTGAGATTTCGAGATTAGAGGGTGAAGCTCGTAATCAGGCCGGGACCGGAGGGTTGATCGTTGTTTCCAACATTAGAAACCTCGTTTCGCTTCTGACTTACTCGAAATCAATGGTTGAACTTGATGTAGACAGTCGTGGGTTTCCAAAAGAGGAAACTTGTTCCACAAGCCAACAGCAGCGTTCCAGTACTTCATCAAGAACACTTCAAGACCTTTCATCCTGTTCTTCCCCACAGTTTCCCGACGAGTTTCGTTGCCCGATTTCACTCGACCTGATGATCGATCCGGTGATCGTGGCCTCTGGCCACACGTACGATCGAAATTCGATCGCGCGATGGATCAATTCGGGGCACCACACGTGTCCCAAAAGCGGGCAGAGGCTAATTCACATGGCACTCATCCCTAACTATGCTCTCAAGAGTTTGGTCCATCAATGGTGCCAGGACAACAACGTTTCGCTGCTCGACGATCACTCGTCGTCGGAGCAGCCCGAGACGTACCACAACAGCAGCAGCAGCAAGACGAAGACGTCGTCTTCGTCTACTGCTGGTGCGGTGGACCACATCTCGGTCACGAAATCGGCAGCCGAAGCAGCGAAAATGACGGCGGAATTTCTGGTGGGGAAGCTGGCTATGGGTTCGACCGAGATCCAGAACCAGGCCGCCTACGAGCTGAGGCTGCTGGCCAAAACCGGGATGGACAACCGAAGGGTGATCGCGGAGGCAGGGGCGATTCCGTTCCTGACGTCCTTACTGAGATCCAGCGACGCGCGAATCCAGGAGAACGCCGTCACGGCGCTGCTCAATTTGTCGATCTACGACAACAACAAGGTCCTGATAACGGCGTCGGGAGGCGCCGTGGACAGCATCATAACGGTGCTGGAAACGGGGAAAACGATGGAAGCCAGGGAGAATGCCGCGGCGGCGATATTCAGCCTATCGATGATCGACGGCTACAAGGTGAGCATCGGCGGCAGGCCGAGGGCGATTCCGGCGCTGCTAGGGTTGCTGAAGGAAGGAACCACGGCGGGGAAACGCGACGCGGCGAGTGCGCTGTTTAATTTGGCGGTGTACAATGCCAACAAGGCAGGGGTCGTCGGCGGCGGCGCCGTGCCGTTGTTGATCGAGGCGTTGATGGATGATAAGGCCGGGATTACGGATGATGCGCTGGCGGTTCTGGCATTGCTTCTGGGTTGTGGTGAAGGGTTGGAACAGATGAGGAAGAGCAGGATTCTGGTGCCGTTGCTTGTTGATCTGTTGCGATTCGGATCGGCGAAAGGAAAGGAGAATGCCATTACCCTGCTACTGGGATTGTGTAAAGATGGTGGTGAAGAAGTGGCCAGAAGGCTGCTGATGAACCCTAGAAGCATTCCTTGTCTGCAGAGCTTGTCGAGCGACGGATCGTTGAAGGCGCGGCGGAAGGCTGATGCTTTGCTCAGGTTGTTGAATCGATGCTGCTCTCATTCGCAGCATTCTGTAAACATGGGGAATTGACTTGATTTTTAGATGAAGAAACTGTGAATTTGCTGTAATCTTATACATGTTACGAACTTTCTTTTTTGGTTCTTTTCTGTTGTTACAAAGATGCAGGAATTGGACGGATAACTACATCAAACAGCTTCATACATTGTGAGCTGTAGAAGGTTAAATACAAGGCTCTTCTAAGTAGAATTAAGTTCTTTTTTACAATGAGGATCTGGTGTGTGCAAATGGTTTAACTTAGGTTACAACCAAATTGATTAATGCAGCAAGGGCTGACAAGATCCTTCTTCTGAGTCCCTTTGAGTGAACTGTGATTCACACGGGATGGGGTTTGAGAGTAAATCGGTCTATTTCGTCTCGACCAAGTCCAGCAAGATATGTGTGCCTTGCACCTTGTAGTTCCAGAACCAGCTTCCACTGTCAATCTTGTTAGGTTCTATAGGGTCGAGCTTCACTTCTAAACCTGAAGCTCCGGCAGAGGTTACCTTCATCTTGTGGCCGTCTGGAACTTCAAAAACATGATTTCCCTGAAACAGTAAGGGCAAAGTTGCAGAAGAGTGAGAAGTGAAAGGGCTAAATATCAGACTTCACCAAACAAGGGTCATCCCTATAACCATTGCCCACTGCAAGTAATAATTTTGCTTGACTACGAGAATATGCGAACTTAACCTGTATGGTCACATTGCAGGCCTCGAATTCGGAGTTTCCATGAAGTACAACCTTAAACTCCTCAATCCGTTGTACACTATGTTTCCAGTAGACATTGTCTACACAACTCCAATCAATCCCTTTGTTAACAATGTGTACGTTTTCCAGCCTACATCTTCCACACCTAGACAAACAGACTGGCTAAGATACTTGAAAATGCAATATTTGGAAGATATCCATAAACCTTGAAAATAAGGTGTCAAAGTAATCAATCACCTGTGACCATAATGTAGTATCGATTCACCATCTTCATCCATTCTGGTTGATCCCATAACATTTTCAGCAATAACTATTAAGCTTCCATCAATCTGGATAAGACTGAACGAGTAAGGATAAAATAGTATAATAAATCATGCCCCGAATTTCGAATGAATTGGAGATCTATTCAAACCTGAACATTCCTCCATAAGAACTCTGCAACCTCAATTTGCAACTCAGAGCCCTTCGATATCGACCCTTTTTTAAACTGGGAGAGAGCAAAAGACAAATTAAGAATTTGATTCAAAGTAACCAGGCCATGCCTAATGGCAGTAAACTACAAAACCAGCATGTGTTATAACCCTGCCTTTTGTCGCATGACCTCCCAAAGTGGACCAAGAGCTGGATGCAGCAGAATCAGAAATGGTGGAATAGAATTCACATATTTGTCATCATCTTCAACCTACCCAAAAAAAAAAAAAAAAAAAACAAAGGATGAAGGGAAGCCACATAAATTTGACTTTCAAAACCCTGGGCAAGACTCAAGAGTTTGTAAAAAACAATATAAAATCTTAGGGTGCGTTTGGATACAATGATTTGGATTTGGTATTTGTGATTTGGATTTCCAAATACCAAATCATGTGTTTGGATATTAATTACATTTGGTATTTGGATTTGTGTCAAATTCATGGGGTGATTTCCAAATACATGTCTAGTGCATTTTTTGTCAACTTCAAATACATTTCAACAACTAGTGATTTGAAATACCTCCTAACAAAAGAATGGACCTATTTGTAAAATATGAAAAGTTTAGGTACTATAGTGTGAGGCAAAACATATAAAGGTACCAAAATGTAATTTTATCATCAAAATTTCAGGACCTTTTTGTAAAATTTTAAAAGTTTAGGTACTAAATTGTAAGAAAAAATAATTTTGGGTACCAAACTGTAATTTACCAAAATTTGTAGTAAGTGACCAGAAAATTAAAAATTGAAATTGAAAATCATAAAATACAAAATACAAACAAATTACAAATGAGTATCCAAACAATGAATTTGAATTACATGTATTTCAAATGCTAATATTTCGAATACATCCATTTCAAATGCTAATATTTCAAATACCTTACATTTAAAATCCACTTATCCAAACGCACCCTTATATTATTTAAGGTGAGACAGACTCAAATACTAGCAGTACCTGTGGAAGTTCGATATCACACTCCGAGAGGATATCATAGGCATTCCTTAAGGTATCCAGCAACGCACCATCCGGAGTCTGCACAAGAATCAAAACACTCAAACTGAAGAAAACAGAGGGATTCATACAAGATTACAACTTTTTTTTTATAATGGTGAACACACAAGATTACAACTTCAACCACAAATTCAATCTTTCGCACTCCATTAAGAAAATATTAGAGATACTATTGGAGGCTTGAAGTTTAAAACGAATGATATTCACAGTCAGGTAACATAATTCAGCCAAGGACATAAAACCAGATCCTGAATCTATTTATACAAATGGAAGAAGCAGAGTCCCTGAACGTCAATAAGACTGTAACCTGGCGCAAAGAAGTCTCTGCATGCTTTCGATTCTTCTTAGCAGAAGATGTAACCCTTCTACGCTCATTGTAGACAATGAATGTATCCAGCTCATCTGCAGATATATGCTCCCAGTTAATTAATATTCCAGTATAGAGACAAGTATACTGGAAGGATGGATGCCGAATTGAGCAGAACTTTTACCTTCCGCAACCTCGTAACATCTAGATAAGTACATATTCAAAAAATTGTCCGCAATATTCTGCATTGTGCATTCTAGGCGACCACCAGGGACGCTGCAATTAATAAATGAAAATTAATTCCATTCGTCAATCAGACGCAGCAGAAAAGACTCAGTAGCTACCTGAGATTGAGAAGCCGAAGGTCAAAAAGAAAAGGAAGGTGACTCAAAGACAGGGGCAGCATTTACCTGTGACGATTTCCCCACTGGTCCTCATACACAATTTGTTTCCTTGTATTAAGTACCATGCCAGGTAAGCATCTTTCATCATTGCTTGATGCTACCGACTCCACGGATGGTAAATCCACATAAAGAATATTTGTGTTCGCGGGGAAACTCTGCAATCTGAAAAACACGAGAAAGCAGTAAACTTAGCACATACTGTTTATAAAAAATGAAAAGAAAGCGAAAGTGATGCTACACCATTATGAAATGAGAAAGCAACTCTGGAATATTTCTGGTCATATAGCAAAAGGAAGTAACGCTGAAAATTACTATTGCATCATAGCAAATGAATGTGTACCTGTTTGAAGAAAAGGGCGTGTTTGATATCCCATACTTATCAAACTCGGTGTACTCAATGCAGGACAAACCATAAGCCCATTTCCCATCAAGATCCATTCTCTCAACAATGACGTTAATTCCTTCTGTAGCTCCCGAGCTTTGCTTGCAAGATGCGAATCCCAGTTTCTGTGGTATTCCAGTCAAAAGTTGCAAGGAACATGAGCTAAGAAGATTATAGGTATATAATCTTAAACGTAAGATGTCAACCACTGAACATACTTTCCCATGTCGTAGGCCCATCCCAGCCAGTGCTAAAAGCGTCAAGTCTGTGGCAGCCACAACGTTACTGCAAAATTTGCAGTTCAAACAAAATGTCAAACCTTGTTCTTGTGATGAAGGCCAAATACTTCAAGATGACAAAATAAATCTAACCTGACTTGCCGAACAGTGGCGCCTTTTCTTCCATGATTGTAAAACCATTGGAAGATGCCATTATCGTAAGCAAGTTTCCAAATCGCACCATGGCCACCAGGTTTGGATACAGGTGAAAATGGTTTAGCAACCAGCCACTTCCCATCTTCAGCACTAACAGCAGGAACAAGAGGCTGGTGTTTCACAAGTCATATTTCAACAATTAATAAAAATCAACAGAATGACCAAGGCAAGAAACAGGGCATATGTAAGCTGTTTATGAAACCTGTTTAAACAGTTGGAAATTGGAACGACCTCTTCCAAACCACTTAAGTCTTTCACAGAGAGAAGTGATACGCTCATGGTTATTCTTGGCTGAACTTGTCATAATAGCGACAGGTGTGATGCTCTGCTTTCCATAGATCTTGAAGTACAAGAATTCTCTAGCCTACATGCAGGTTATAACACCAGTTCAATATAACAAGCTTCCAGGAAAGTAGCAACAAACAAAGTCATAAGTAATTCCTTTGCAGCTTGATAACAAAGTTTTCATACCTGAACATCTCTAATCAGGCCTTCCAATAATGTCCTTCCACAATAAGGAAGCATTGCAGCAGGAAGACATTCGCCCGTGTCAGCATCTACCAAACCTAGACGATCCGCTGAGCCACCCAAGGGATAAATTTCTCCTAGGTCTGGCAAACCCTAATAGGATAAAATCTTATTATACCAAACAAAATGTGGTATCCCAAATCCATCTTCTCCCCCCATATGTTAAAGCAAAGCAAAAAACTTGAGATGCTAACCTCAATTCCCCATAGTGCAGCTTGAGATGCATACTCTGTATCTTTAGAAAGGTCAAGTCCACTAGGGGTATGAATTTCCAAACACTGGCAATTCATGGCGTCCTCTAAATGTTGGGACCAATTCGTAGTCTGCTTTTCACAAGTTGAATGGGCAAGTTGCTCCAGCACCATTATCTCGTATCTGTAAACCCCCAAAGATAATGGCAGTTCTTCAGTTTTTCCTATTATATGATTCTCAATTGTGAACCTAGCAATTAAAAAGAGAATTCGAAACTCACCCGATGATCCCTCCAATGCAATCATAGAACTTCTCAACCTCCCTCAAGTTCTTCAACAGCCGTTTCAGGTCTCTAACTTCCTCATCTCTTACGTGCACGCCGTGGCCGTTATTCTCCAACGAGCGCTTACCATTCGGACCTCCTAAGTCAAACCTCTCGATCATCTCCGCCAGAGTATACAGAGCAGTCTTCAGAGAATTCCTCCCACTCCCAGCCTCGGCATTACCATCCATCGCCTCCAAACCAAGCACATGTTCCTGACCAGCAGCGACTAAAATCTTAAGCAAGAACAAGTCATCGGAGTCCAAATCAAGCAGTTCCAAAACCCTAGACCTCCCCAATTTGAAGTCGAAGAACTGCTTCACGCGGGAATCGCTCTGCAGGACGAGAAGCTTCCCCCTGAGATTGCCGCCGCAATTGGCGAGCCTCGACCGCAGGGCCTTGAGTCGAGATATCTCCTGCTGGAAATTGAAGTCGTCGGGAGCTGAAGGATCGCACTCCACAGTCGCGGTGGAGACGCGGGAGTGCCGGAAGACGCGATGCGATGGCGGGGGGTGCTGCTCTGCTGAAGAAGAAGTAGAAGAAGAGAAGGAAACGGACGAGAACGGCTGAGGAGCTGGCCTCCGGAGGAGAAGAGAGGTTGCAGATGAAGGCGGAATGGCAAGAAGTCTGGAGTTGGGAAAGGGGAGAAGGGCGCCGTTGCGAATTGCGTTGCCGGCGCCGGAGCCCGTCGCCATGGCTGCGACGGCCGACGGTGGGCGAGGAAAAAAAAGGAGCAAGGAAGACAGCTGTTGGGAGGAAAGAACAGAAGGAGAAAGGGAATTTGGAAGAAACGAACGGCAATGGCGGATGAAGAAGATGGAAGGAGGGTGTGGAAGTGGTGGGAAGTTGGGAGAGGGATAAAGCCGAGAGATGCTTGGAGGATATACCGAGGCTGAGCCGTTGAGGGGAATAAAGCAAGCGGCTTTGTTTGGGGAAATAGGAAATCATACGACCGCTTTCTATTGGACGGCTGTGACACGCGTCCACCTTAGAAAGGATATGAACAACTAGTCCATTCTAATTCTAATTTTGGCCCATTCGGACATCCGTGTAGGAAGTATTTATGGGCCTGCCTTTGGTTTATCGGACCCACCGGCCTTTTGTCACGTAGGCAGTCTCCTTTGGAAGCCTCATTTAGGAATGGCGAGGCTTCAGTCCAAATAAGCAACTACTAAAACCGGGCCAGAAATCCAGATATCACTCAGCAATTGGGCTTCCCCCGTGCAGTCCAGGTCCAGTAAGGTTTCAGCCCAAATTCCAAATTAGAGCCGGCTTGATTAACCTATCCTACTAGAGCCCTGCTGCCCTGCAGGTTGTTGAGGCAATGGACTTACCAATGAACAGGTTCTATATCATCCTACCAAAAGTCCAAAAGTCCTCTCCAAACACATTCTTCCCTAACCATATCTAATCATACAAATAGTCATCGTTCAAGATTTTTAAAAAAATGGAGATTATATGTTGTGTACACTGTAGAGAATGCACGAAAACATTGGTAACTGCTATGCCAAACATAAGATCCATGCACCAAAAACACTTACGTTTTGGAGTATTACCGTACCCAGAAGTAGATATATCATAAGCGAAAGTGGAGAGAAGAGAAGATGCCTTACTAGTTCAAACAAACATCGATTCCATCTTTAAAAATTTTCCTCTGCACAAAGTGACGAACAGTCGGATTGTTAATCATTAAAGCAAAACACCACCCGTCCGTACTAGATATCGAGGGGAGCTCGCAGTCTCAACTGCCACCTGTTGAATATGCATGACACTAACAACGTGACTCGACAATAGACATGCCTGAAATCTACCAAATCGATCAATATGGCCCCTTCACATAATATAAACTTTTGGGACTAGCTAGGTATTTTCAAAGCATTCACACAGCAAGAAGAGACATTGAAAAAGAAAGGATTGGCGGCTACGCATACCCTCTCCCTTGAAGCATATTTGTTTATTAGGGATTTGAACTCCCCCGTCGCCTAATATGATAATCGACAAGGTTGATTGTGTTGTTTTGTGTTATTGGACTTTATCAAGAAAACGGTCCTTAACAAAGTCTTTTTAACTATAACCCCTTAAGCTTGTGTTTTCTTTCTCCCCCAATTTCATCAACCGTGGCCAGAAAGTGTTGACTGATAATCGAAGATTCAAATGAGATTCAACCAAACATATACAAGAGAACAAAGTCATTTTCCTGAAGTGTTGTTCTTTATTCTTTGTTGGTAATTAGTTTCAACTTTCAATTATGAAGACCTTTCCATGTTTTCTATATAAAAAAAAAACCCCTTCCCATGTTTAAACAACTCCTCTTCAATTGGTGATTTGGTGCCTTTATTATATATATGTCTTCTTGTTTCTATGATTGTTGGAAAAATCTTAATAATGATCGTATGTGGTTTGTTAAACATTAGAATTTTCTATGACCAAATATCTAATGTGTAGTTCATAAAATGACATATACTTATTGTCATTACTAATATGGGATTTCATCAAGTTATAACACTCATCATACTATGAAATCTCATTGGCTCTTGACTATCACTTCTGTTTTAAGACCCTAGCACTATCAATGTGATATTTCGTAGAAACTATAATTTTACTAATTCAAATGTCTTGGATTCTATATTTTAGTTAAAACAATAGAGTTTCTTTCTAATCAACTTATCATCATGATTAAGTAGTATTAGTTAATCAATATGCTCAGTTACATTGATATTTTTCAAATATTTATACCGGACTAATTGTCCTATCGGTATGCTTTTGATCCTCATATTTTAAATTTTCTAAACGAAATTATTCTGATAAGGTCCGATCCATTCACAACCAAAATTGTTGCACACTCCTAATTGGAAGGTTAAATCAATTGAAGGCCCATGTCCGAGTGGTCAATCTATGGAAACAAAATGTAAAGGCCCAACAGACTTTTGCATAATTTTCCAACACTTCATTTTCAGCTAGCACAAGAATAATAATGCAATTAAGTTAAAGAGTCATTTCTAGGGTTTGGACGGTACGTATTGGCCTTTGGAATTGGAATCTTCTTGTTGCGTGGAAAACGACTTCCACATAATAATTAATGGGAATTATTATTATGAGAAGTTGCTAGCCGGAGGATTTGTTAAATTTATTATGAATAATAAAATTATAATAAAAGCATTAGGGCTATTCTTATAATTAAAAAGGCATATATGGATGGAAATTTTTCTTAATTTGTATATATATATATATATCTTTACTTGTCAATGGAAATTCTTGGATTGGGTAGGGCTGATGCTTGACTTGTGGAATATAAATGAGATGTGTGTCATTTTGGCAAGGTGGTCGTTTTCGAGCCTGTAGCTATTCTTCAAACGGCAATTCTAACAAGGTAACTCTAATTCTGAGAATTAAGCTGTCGGGCGGTAGCATCGTTGAAAATTTGCGATAGTGTAGAAATAGATGGCGGGTGGGGTGGGTGCATGAACCTTATTAAATTCATCTGTTGAATTACAGAGCAAATTGACAGCTGCTTCCGAGAAGCAATGGAAACAACGGCGAGATATATGAAGTTTCCAAATGGTTTTGTGACTGCTGCGGTTAAGTCTTAGCTAGCTAGCTATAGCTTGTTCATTGTTTTCTTTATTACAATCCCTCTCATAAATTCTTTCAAGGGGGGTGGAGTGGAAGTAGAGCAATTGAGACTTTTGTAGCTCTCCTAGGACCATTAATACCCATAATTTCTTTAGGGTTTATTAGCAACTTTGATTAATTTGCCCCTTTGTTGGCCGTGGATGAGATTGAGATCGATATATAGCTTCATCCGATTAGTTTTGGAAAAGTTTTACTCTTTGTATTTTCAGTGATTTGGCTGTGACTTCAAATAGAGATGGTTATCAAACACAGTTCATATATATATGCAGTTTGAATTTATGATATGCCTCTGACGGTGTTTAGCATGTTATTTTCATGGTTGGCCTCATGTCGCCTCCTTACGAGGCAGACCTTGTACCATACCTGAGCGTGGTAAGATGCCGTGGCAGGCTCCTGCACGTATCGGCCTCTTTGGCGAGATAAATATCATTCCATCTCAGAAGCATAGTATGTTTGTCGTTGTTGGTTCTTTGTCTTGAGCCAAAAGCTCAAATCACAAAGCCTAACTCATACTAGTTTTTATACTATGGTTGGGCTAGTCTTTGAAATTCACTTGATTCGTTGTAAATGAATAACTTTTTAGGTTAAAACGGTACCCCGACATGTATGATGAAGATGCTAGATACCAAATAACATTTCTTACGTGTTCCTTTTACACTTGTAATCATCGTTTTGTTAGTTTTTTGGGTTGGAATGAAGTCTTTTTGTATACAGTGACTTATTTATATGACATACTATCACTCATAGAAAAATTAGGGTTATTGAATTGTCTGAATTAATGAATAAGTATATACAATTATATATAAAAAAATGAGTAAGTATACAAAAACCAAGTAGGTAAAAACCTTCAATCCAACATTCACTCGTCATTACAAAGACAAAAAGAAAATCAGAATACTCAACCGAAAGACCATTGCCACATATTAAAGAGCTCAACTTCCATTCATTTGGTTGTGTGTATAATGAAGAAAGCAATCACATTGCTCATGAGAAAGTAGGCAGAAGAAAAGAAAGACAGCCATGATTTCACAATAAGTTGGAGGAGGGCACACGTGCATGCATATCAATATCACTTTCTCTTTTGTGGTTGAAGGAATGCCTACCAGCAGCTGGCTCTTTAATATTGTTGCTCAAAGTAAACCTAGCTAGTTGGGGGGAAAAACCTAACTACATGTGATTCATTGAACACTTAGGACTATATGAGTAAAACACACATCCATCCTCCTTAATTTGAATCACAATCTAACGACTTATTAAGATAGACATACTAATCAAAACTTCAATACAAACGTTAAGTCAGAAAATGCACAATAACTTATTCTAAATTGTTCACATACCCTCTCACATTTCTCAAACGTTGTACAAATTGAGATAGTCAACCACCAAGATGGGGTTGAAATTTTGAACACATAGATATGCATGCATGTTCTTGGCCATATTATAGACTTGATGAAATCACTAGCTAGCTAGTTCCAAAAAACGATGGATGGATTTGTGTGATTCCAAGTGCAATTGTTTTGACCCAAAAAGGAGCATTTGTCCTTGTTGAGGATACCTATGTGCAGAAAACTTCTTCATTTCCCCTCATATATAAAAAAAAACCCTAGCTAGAGGTTTATGTTCCCCTCAGCAAAAAAACAACCTAGGTTTATGTCTTCTATCGGGGCCAAAACTTGTATGTATCCACAAACAGTCACTTCCCGAAATGTTCCCTAGATGAACACAAAAACCTACTTTTTAATCCATGATCTCTACCACTATACAAGACTACACAAAAATGCTGTCTTTTCCACTAACTTATATGCACATCTATGTATAAAAACACCATGCAAAAAAGAAAAGAAAAGAAAGAAGAAGACTACTGTCTTTTAGCAGACACATGATCCTTTTAGCACTTCAATGCTGGCTAGCTCTGCCATGCATCTATCTCCATGGATTCTCCTCTTTCCACAGAGAGACAGACAGACTGAAATGACAAATAAGCCCACAACCCAAAAACTTATTAACTTCAAAATCCATCCCCAACAGACTCACTCTTGTACCCATATGTTATGGTCAACCAAATCAAACAACAAAACCAACAAAAGCTCAGATATTAACTTATAGGGAGATGTATATAACTTATGTAAATACCTTCTTAACTTCATTTCTTTCCTTTTGGGTAGTCTTGGTACAAGATGACACAAAAAAAAAAAAAAAACAATAACAAACGCAATGCTAGCTCCCGGGGAAGAAAAGCAAGTACCTCAAGATCTCACTCAGAATAGTCTAACCTCATTCACAAAGTCAGATCAAGAGTACTTGCCATCACCCGGGCACGCTTATTAACACAACCATCGTAACTACTCGTATTGCAATCCTCACGACTCCTAATAAAACCTCCACCGCGAAAGTTGTTCATGTAACCCAATAACATATCCCTTTCCTTCGACCCGATGGCTGGCTTCGAGGACGAGGATGAAGATAGAGAAAGGGACAAGCTACTCTCATCCACAACATCATTAGTAGTAGTATCACCATAACAGCCGTTCTTACCTTCCTTAACCACGTCGCAGCTTCTTGGAGTAACAACAACAACAACCTCGTCATCATGTTCCTCAACCATATTCTTCACTTTGAGGGACAGATCCAAGTCCAGCGATTTCTTCTTGTTGGAACCATGATCACGAGATGGATCCCACGTGGGCTTCCTTTTGAGACCGCCATAGACGTTGTTGTTGTTGCTAGTTCTAGTTTCATGGAAGGTTTTGGTGGAGTCGATGGTGTTGGTTATCGGTTTGGTGATCTGTGCCGGCCACGTGGTGGTGCTGGATCTATTGAACAAGAGCTTGCTGGCGGCTGCCTCGAGAGCTTGGTGGTTGGTTTGAGCTTTGATGGGATCATCAGTAGCCATTTGGGAAGGTATTAGTATCTCTTTGAGAGAAGAGCCATAAGGGAAATTGTTGTTTCGAAAAGGGTGGTGGTTGTTGCTGTAGTTTCCATAAAGGCCGCCGCCACCATGTTTGGCTCTGTTGAGGAATGAGGAGGAGGAGTTGTAGCTTGTGCCGTACATTTGGTTCCCTCTCCAAGAACCGCCATCTCCATGTCTAACATACATATATACGAAAAACAGATCGATATATATGTGAACTTCAAGCTCTTGAGTTAAGGTACTTGATAGGAAGAGCTTAATATATAGTTCTAGTTTGTGTACCTGAAACCAGTTGAGGGAGGCCTTTGGTTGAAGCTTTGAATCATAGGAAGCTGGCTTAGGTTGTAGACATGGTGTTGATGATGATCCCTTCCTTGGAATAAAAGGCCTTGGTGGTGCCCTGAAATTCCATTCAAATGAAAAACCCACCAAAAGTCAGAAACCAGGAAATTAAAGGGAAACCCTAATTTCCTTTTTTTTTTTCTTCTTTCACCCCAGGTTATAGATTATGAGATCAAAGTGTTTATTTATATCATACCTTGATTTGGATCGTCAAGCTTCTTGCTTCTGAACATCTGAAAAACCAATCACAAAACAGAAAGAAATTAATTTAAAAAAAAAAGAAATTAATTCAAAACCCAGTTGAAATTAGGATCCCACCCAATCAATTAATCCAAATGGACTTTTGAGAACCGTGGAAAAGAAATTCAGAAGAGAGGAGGGGGAGAAAAATGGGCGTATGTGTATATCTTTTTTCCCCCTTAAAATGAGTTTTTGTCAAAGTAATGAATTTGTACCTGAAGATGGCTTTTGACATGAGCTATACTGAGTCCTTTGATGTTCATGAATTGAAGGACCAATTTCGGTGTTGCTCCTGTCACAGAAGAAATTTTTACAAAGATTAATTAGACTGCGAAGAAGGAGAATCGTTAATTTTCTTTTTTCGTTGGTTTGTTGGTTCCAAAGTTCGAACTTGTGAAAGAATTCAATTTGGAGAAATACAGTACTGAAGGCAGAGAGAGAGAGAGAGATGAAGATCTCACTGTCTTGGCCACCAAGCCTTTCCACAGCATTCAGGAAGCAGAGATGAAGATCGGGCGTCCACCGGAGCCGTGGCATCTTCGACCGGTTATACTTCCTCACAGATCCACCACCGCCACCACCACCACCCTTGTTGTCGCCTCCGCCGCCGCCAATCTCTTCAACGGAGCTGCTAGTACTGTTGCTGGCCACGTCACCACCACCAATATCATCATCTCCTTCACCTTCTTCTTCCTCCTCTTCTTCTTCATCATCGCTGAGGAAGATCTTGTTGGAGTAGTAGCTTGACTTTGAAGAATCACCTTCTTCCTCCACCGCCACTTCTTGCTCATGGCGGTTGTGATGGTGATAGAGATGATCACTTCCCATGGCGAAGGAGGATGGAGGTCAGGAAAAAAAAGAGGAGAAGGGTAGCTATAGGCAAGCAAGCTAGGTGGAGGATCGGGTCATGTTGTGGAATTTGGAATGATGAACTGTTTGGGTTTCCCCATTTTTTCTTTCTCTCTCTCTCTCTCTCTCTCTCTAGATGGGGAGAAGAATTTTGGGTGTTTTTGACCTGAAAGCTGAGGAAATGGAGGAGAAGGAGGGAGGAATGAGATGAGAAAGAGAGAGAGAGAGAGAGGGAGGAAGATTTCTAATATTCTGGAAGACAAAAAAGGAAAGAGAATAAAAAGGGTAGTAAAAGTGGGAGCAGCAGCAGCAACAGTAGTAAGTAGATGATGCAACAAGTGGTGGAAGGAAGATATGAACACACAAGGAATTGGAAAATACAAAACCCTAGCCAATCCTTGACATTTCTACACCTTCTCTCTCTCTCTCATCGATTTATATTTTATATTGTTATTATATTAATAATTATTATGCATATAATGAGATCGATGCATGGATTGGTGCATCAGTTAGTCATGTGCATCCATGCATGTGTATGTATGGTGCATCAGTCTGTTCTTAAATTAAGAATTAGATATATGAGGCCGTTTTAATTAATGGATGTAGTTGAAAATAGGTTGAGAATTGAACTCTTAACACCTTCGACGGGGTGAGTGCAAGCTAGCTGGTGCTCTGCTCGCTCTCGCTCTTGCTCTCGCTCTCGTGATCAAGTTCTTGAGTCAGCATATGAGGGTTTGCCCTAAAGAAAGAAGAAGAAAAAAGCCATATGTATATGAGGTTTTGCTGCATCCATGTACCCCACTTCCACTTTATTTAGGAGTTGTTTGCTTCGTGTATTTACAAAATGAATTATTTGATCAAATATGAACATTTGATAAATATAGATATTTGACAATATAAACATTTTCATATGTATTGCTTGTTAAAAAAAATTCAAAAAAAATTATTTGTATAATATTGTCATTTTTTCTTACATGTAATATATTTCATTTTCTTGTTTGCTACACGGAATTTTTTTGCAACCAACAAGAAACATATTATTTGGGTATTAGTCATGTATAATAATACTAATTTTTATTTTTAACGATAATTTTATGTTTTTTTTTACAAATTGTAACGGTTTCTAAGTGTATCATTTTACAATCAAACGTAACATTTATTTGAGACTGATATGATATCCAAAATTATAACAACTATTTTATTAGAAATAATTGAAAAGTATTAATGGAAAATAATTGACAAGTATTATCAATCATTTGCGAATGACTTGTTTTATTTTTCGTTGGAATGAGTCATTTCACACCAAATAACTCATACAAATATAGCATGCAAACGACCCCTTAGGCTGTCAAGCATCTAGGTTATTATGGTACTCAAATTCATCCTTTACTTCGCATTGATCATTCCCCCCGAAATATATAAAGAAGACGATGTTGATGCAATCAAACTTCATAGTCCTACTAACAAAAATCTTATGAAATCATCTCTAGACTACCTAGACCTAGTTGAATCATTTTCATAATTAATGGTCTTTGTTAGGTGAAAATCGTGTATTGAATTTTAGCTGGCTAGCAAGCATTTAAATTGGTAGCATTGAGGAATAAGGGAGCAAGAGAGGTAGTTTCTAAAGACATTCATGGTGAAATAAATAAATGAGCTAAACTTTTGGACATTGTCTATAGATCGAGGCTCTTCATGCCTATAGACTGCTCAAGGGTCATGTAAAACAAAAAATGTGTGCATTGTATATGTTGTTTACTAGGGCGCGACTCGGGTCATTAGTATATCGTTTCTGAAGAATTGTGCTTTTACCATCTTCTTTTATTATCGAGATAATTAAATTTGTCTTTGTATAAGGTAGGAAGGATTGTGGTTGCACTTAGAGTTATGTCTAGTTTCATTGGTTGGTTGTCCACTCTTAATCAACTTGGTACCACGGATCCTATCCCTATGTAGGATATCCCCTTAGTTGTTTATTTGTTGATGGTGCAAATGGGAGTAAAGATCACAACTTGCAGAGATGAACCTTAATTAGACTTGCAATTAATACTGTAAATCTGGTTAACTGAGATAGATTTTCAAACAATGGGTATGGTTAGCATGCATTAATCATCTTGTGACTATGCTAAAAAAAATCACAAAAAATTATAGAATTTTTTTTTTATTGATGTGGAAGAATAGATGATGGAAGGATGATGAGAGCTTGGAATTGGGGGTCAATGGAGAAATGAAGTTGCTGGCCTGTCACTCACTCAATATATAATCTTTAATCTGTAAATAGCAGAAAATGACAACTTCCCTTCTTTGCAATTAAGAAATTCTCTACAGAACAAAAGAGATATATAATGCCAACGAGAATCACGGATTTGCCTTTTGTCCCTATCTATCTCATAACGACACTCCTTTCTTTGCCATTTCCACACAGGAAATTATTATTACTTATCCCAGCCCTTGATTTTCCGATCATGTGGCCATCAATAACATATATACCTTATTAATTAGATACACCAGTTGCAATAATATAAACATAGAGTTAGTATACTGAATATTTTTGCTGTACTACTGAAATTAGAGATCCCAATAGATTCCTCTCCATCGAATTATATATATTAGGCAAAATAAATGCAACTAGATTGTTACTTCATTTCAAAGCAAAAAAAAACTATTAAAACAGAAACACATAAGTAAAAATGATTAATTATTATTTTTTTAGTAGAAGGATTAATTAATTTCTTATGAAACTACTTGATGAAATAAATAAAGTTTGAGAAGGAAACCATCTCGAGGTATTAAATCGACATTTCTCAGGTCGATCTAATGCCTTGATCCAATCACCACGATTAAATCACATTCATTCTTGAATGGATTAGCTTGGTGGTTCGCCATTAATTAGTCACTACTGAATACTGATCATCCAAATTAATCAAATGGATCAAGATTATCATCATATGCTAACTACTGTCTTTAATTGGTGGGCCTTGGTATGGGCTGGCGGGCCATGCATCTAATCAGCAGAATGTAGGAAGAATTTGATCATCATCAATTCATCACCACCACCATTGATTTGATTTAGTCTCAAGGTAGTAGTTTTGACTCACTGTTCATATGCTCTCAGCGTGACCTTGATCACTGTAGCCTGGTCTAACATAGCAAAGCAAGTTCTTGTTTGTTTCTAAACATTTGATAATTTTAGATTTTGTTTCTTTCTCTAGCGCTAATTTCTTTGTCCCCGGCCCCTCAATTCTCTCACCAATTCCTTATCCCCATAGATTAGAGAGTTGTTGTGACGATCGATCGATCGATCGGTTTGGCATCACGTTAGGACAGGAAAGAAGGGAGCCTCTCTCTCTCGAGAGAGAGAGACAACAGTGTCAGACCAACATGCGCTACTTTGGCCTAGCTAGGGACTTAGTTTAATTAGGGCCACGATTCGATCGCCATTGTTTGTTTGTTTGAATGAATGAATAATAATAGTGCAATCCGGCCATTACAGAATTGACGACATGATAATGGGTTGATTATATTATATATGTATGCGCCTTAACATTCAATTCCCGATGAGTATGTGAAATGAATTTATTAAGTTTTGTAGGATTAATTTCATGATGATAGGAAGAACAGATAGGATTATCGAACTAACAACGTGCAATGTATTTTCTTCATATATGTGAAGAATTTCTTTGACGAGCACCACATTCAGTGATGTTGTCGTCAAGGAAATTCTCGAGTTGTCGGCATTCGGCCCATTTGTGACCGGGGGTGAACATGCAATACCATAAGATAAGGAATACAAATTGGGCCACATACTTTGAAATTTTAAAACTGAACATATATGTCTAGCTAGCTCGAAGTTGAGTAAATGTGTATTGTAAGGAAGTGGTTAAATACCATACATGGGTCTGTATAAGATCCAGCAGAACTTTCTTCCAACAACTCGAGTTATTGGAATCAACTGGTTCTTGACACTATATACACGCATGGACATAAAAAGAATGGGTTTGTTTCGGGGTGAACCAAAAGTCAACGGACCATGAAAACGGTTGCCATTAGCCTTGACTTCATGCCGTTTTTCATTTCTTCTTTCCTTCCTACTGTTCCTACTGCATGCACTTCCTCATATATAACGTCATATCGTGGTCCACAATTAACACCTTGGAAAAACGAACACGATCTAGGGTTTCGGGTTGAAATGATATTTTATGTGAATCAGTATCTTGGTGCTAGCCAGTTATCGCTACTTGAACATACCATTTTTTACATTTACGTGGGCTACAGTGAAATTAATACATGTTACGTAAACAAGCATTGCGATTTCCATTTTCCATAATAGAACCATAGCAAAATTTACTATAATCGAAGTGATTCGAGTAAATCCGTGGCATGATCGAATGCCGAAACTAGCAATGACAGATCATTATACCTAGAAAAATATTGGAAAAAATCATATAAATGAATGGAGTATCCGAGTTGGTTATTGTTGTGTTGTTGACGAGTCATGCACATGAATTTCCCACCTCTCCCCTACCTAATATTCCTCCATATCGACACATGATTTTATTAAATTCTCTGTTGGAGCAGTACGGGTTACTAGAAATTGTGAACGAAACCTTTCTAGTTAGCTAGCATTTCAATTTCCTGGCTACGTACGTTAACAGTAATGAATAATGAATTAATGATGCTTATAATCAACATATAATTCCATTCCTCCCCGTGCTTTCCCCCAACTACATATATAATTAATTATCTCAGTGACATTTAACCACCACCAACTGATGATTATCAAAAACTCCCCTCTTCACTTTTCCTTTGCTTCCTGTCTTTCTAGCTAAAGCTATACACATTCGTTCGTTCCTTCACACGTCGATCGATCTTCATCACGGGCTTCTTGGAAGAAATCAAAGCCGTCCAAGAAATGCTAGCTTTTCTTGGTGATTCTATTAAGGTAGAAGAAAACAGCTACGACAGCCACGTGTTCGAAGGAAACCCAACTTATAATAAATTCGAAATTTATAAGAACATCGGTTAAAATAGAAGTTGTGGAGATTACATTCGAATATGTAACCTGTTTGGAATTTCTCGGAATGAATTTATAATTACTGATGAAAAATTAAATGTTGTCTATATCCCTTTCTTTATATAACATGTAGTACTTGGAAATATTGAGATTGGTTTAACAGTATAAATAAAAATTAAATAGATATAGATTGAAAAAACGATTATTTTAATATAGAA